GGAGCCTGCAGTGTGGTGTGGCCCAGGGAAAGCTGCTGGAAGGGGGGATTTCACAGCTCACTTCAGTTTTGCTCCTGTGGTTTAGTTCTCTCAGTGCAATCGAGTGTCCAGCCAGCTGGGAAAGTCTCTGGGAAGGAGGAGCTGCACTGAGCTCTGGTGGGATCTGCAGCCCCCTGCCCACCTCCCTGCAACCCAGAGCTCTCACAGGCCCACCGACACTGAGGCACCTCATTTTGGGCATTTACAGTGGCACTGGGACAAAAATATGAACATCTGAGCTCTAGAGCTCCAGGCACAGCTGGAGATCATCACTGAGCATCTCCAGTTTCCTCTCCGACTCTTTTCTCTCAAGCCCCTACAGGGAGTGAAACGTTTCTCCCATGCACCAGCTGCAAGGAACTATTCAAGGGCAAACCAACTGATCATTAGATTTCCATAACTGCCTGAGTCCATTCCCCAAGGAACATTAGCTCAGTGAGTGACTTTTGCCCTTGGGAAGTGGCTGAAGTCTCCTCTCTGCCTGCAGGACACTCTGGGCCTCTCCCTTGCTCTGGGCTGTGATGATGTAAGACAGGCACATGTTCAAGGGCATCTTTGTACCCTCTGATATTTATTTGTGTGTTAGCAGTCTGTGAAATAGGGGGAAATCATCTTATCATGCATCTAAGCCTATATAATATATATATATATAAAATAATTAGGGCTGGTAGAGAGACAAGGGCCGAGGGTGGATTTGAGGCAGCCCTTATAACACATGAAAGCCATGTACAAGCTCACAAGCAAAAGGACAGGAATTCCTTATTTTCTTTACCTTTGTGAATTAAATGGGATGATTCCACTCCTACCAACAGGAGCATCAATATTCCATTAATAATACCCACCATCCAACGAACCAGAACACCAATATTCCATTAATATTAACGTCCACAACTGAATTAATGCCAACCATTAAGAACACCCAGTGTGGGAAGCACCATTCTGTGTGTAACATGTCCAGAGGGTGTGTTCAACCAGTGACATTTGCTGCTGCTGCACAGGCACTGCACTCAACTCCTTCCCTCCCCCCACTACTACAAGCACTAATCAACATTTTCTGCCTTCCCCAGAATAATTAGAGCCCAGCCTTTGTGCAAGCCCAAAGGACTTTCTTCAGGGGTGTTATCTCCATAATCTGCATTTTGAAAGGAAGGACAAGTTTTTAAGCAGAGAAAGACTTTTCTCTTCCCCCCCCCCTCCCCAAATTTCTCCTCCCGGTTGGGGCTCCAGGATGGCAAATGAGCAGCTGCCAGTGGGACTGGTGAACTCTGCTTATCCAGTTCTTCCCCTATTTCCTGCAGGAAAAAGTCCTGGCTGGCTCAGAAGGGCTTGTTGGGATGTGTTGCCAGAGAATCTCCTCACCAGGGCCTGCAGCCATAATGAGGCAACAAGAAGTTGTCTTGTGTCTTGTGGGTTGTGCAAGCATTTCATTGTCAAGGATTTATTGTTTGCCATTTTCTGTTGCACAATAGAAAATGAGGAGAGAAGGAAGGGTGGGGGACAAAGGCATGGACGTGACAGAATTAGGTTTGCAGTGTCCTGGGGTTTTTTTTAATGAGAATTTAAATAATTAATTCATCAGCCAGTGATTACAGGTGACTGTAGCTGTTCACTCAAGAGCCGACTGCATTTCTTTTTTAATCAAAAGTGTCATTTTTACACTCCAAAATACTGGCTTCTTAAAAAAATCTAAACCATGTTCCATGCATGTTTTGTGGCATTTCCTGTTAATACCAAAGATAAAGGGGTAGAACCCAGTAAAAAAACCAGCTGGTTAAGAGGATTCACATCTTTCAGAATAACCATTTAAGAATTTGAGATGAACATTCTACACGTTTTGGTTTCCTAAAACAACACCATCTTTGCCCCTTTTGCTGATTTTGGAGATTTTTTTTTTGGTGACTGATGGTCTCTGGCATCTTTCTGGATCTTTAATTCAAGCTCCTGAGTAAATCTACGTTGTTCAAAGTGTAAATGGGATTGAAATCAGTCCAGATCAGAAGAGTCCTTTCTCAAGGAATTTCAGTCTTATTTCACAACTTCCAGTGTGAGACAAAATCCACTTCTGGGTGGATTTGGAAGGCAGGCAGGAGCTCTGCTGGGGCTGATTTGGGGCTCTAAACACCCCCTGTATCCAGAGTATTAACATTTCCTTATCACAAGCTGCTCCCAAACCCCTTGCAGAGCTGTTTTCCTGGCGGGAACGTGTCAGAACTAATCAATCCAAGGGGATTTGAGCTCTCCCAGAGCCCTGAATCCCCTTCTGCACCATTTCTTACAAAACCAGGCTGTCCTGACTTCAACTAGCGTGGTCCACTTAGTCTGTTCCCAGGGGATAGACGGAATTCCGATGGGGGTGGGAGAGCCCCCGAGGGACGAGCATTGTCCTCGGAGAAGCAGGAAGAAAATCCACGGCCACGTGCTGCCTTGGACTGAGTGGGTGCTCCCTTAGATTGCACTCAGGTATGCAATTCCTCAAGCACACCTGTGGAAACCTTAATGGCTCCAATTACCCCCTGGCATCGTGTGAGGCTCCGGAAACCACGGGAAGGAGGCAGGAAGGAGCTGCTTCCTCCATGGGAAAGTCCGGAGTGGAAAGAACCTTGTGGTTATTTCCTTGGATATTTGCAGGAATTACGGTTGCAAAGCCACTCTAATAACTGAGGGGGGTTGGGGGATTAAAAAAAAGAAGATGAACACACCACCAGCACTCAACCCAACTTTAACTGGAGTGTAACCTTCATGTTAACTCGTTTGTCCAGTTTATTCACTTCCTATTATTCCCTGGATCATGCTTTGAATAATTTCCATGATCTGTTTGTTAAGTCCTGCCCCTTTTGATGTCATCAATTTGATCCATATAGGCTGGACAGCTCCCAATGTATCTTCACTTAGAAATCGGGGAGCTTTGGACCAGGACTCATCATCTTCTTCTGCTCGGGATAAAAGCCCAGGGCTGAGTTTAGTGGCTTCTCTAAACACTCAAAGATAGAATTTCTGCCAAGGTACAGTGTGTGTGTGGGGTTGTAATCTGCTTGTTTTGCTGTTTATTTCTGTATATCTGTGCTTGATCTGTGGCTGTGGACACCTGTGGGTAAATATTTCCCTCCATGCCATTAACCTGTGTTTGCTGTGATCATCCAGGAGTTTTCTTTGCCACTGATTTCTTATAACCTGCAGCCTTTTCCAGGCACTTCCCACAGGCAGGACAGGCAGCTGGTTTTGTTGAATCCCAATTGCTGTGTTCAATAAATTAGTGGTGGGGTAATTTAGTGGTGGAGAGAATCGTGCTGCTGCCCCTGCACATGTGTGCTCTGAAAGATCCCCTCTGGGTTGTTCTGTGTGATCATATGTTTGGGTTTTTTCATGCCAGTTATTTTAAGAATGCAGATTTGATTGGGGTGAACTGGCCATGGCTTTAAAAGCTCAGCTTTAGAATGTCCGAAAACTGTGGGCTGTCTCTAAAAGCCAGGGCTTGACCCTTTAGAGCTGGATTTATTTTTACATTCAATATTACACATCCAAAAAAAGGTATTTGATAGATTCTTTTAGCATTCACTTTTGGTAACTGCATCCTTTTATTCTGCTTTTTCTCATTAGACCAAGGCTGAGTAGTGAGATGGATGAGGAGCCTGAGCTTTCATTTCATCACAACAATTCCTGAGTTATTTGTGCCCTCCTTGTCTCCAACCTCTGCTCCTGTGTCTGTAAGGTTTTTATTTGGAGCTAAGGTTGGACCAAAGTGTTGTCCTCAGTAAACTTTTGTTAATAGCATAATAGGCAGGTGATTCACAGAGTGCTGTAATGTTGGAAACTCACACCTTGCAGGACCTGGTGTCGTGTTCAGCCCGTGGAATTCTGTCACCAGTGTCCCAAACTGGCCCCAGAACTCATGGAGGTGCCCTCAGACTAAAACCTGGGAGCAGAAATAACGTTCAACATGAAGGCTGAAACTCTCTGGAGATGTTTTACTTATTGGGACAAAGGAAAGGTGGACTTGGATTTCTAGTTCTGCCGCTCTTCTTGGGTGATTTTCCATTTCTGTGCTTCCTTTTCCCACCTGTAAAATAGAGAGAAGATTTTTAGATGCCTGGAAGAAGCTACTTATGAAAGAGCTATGTGGCGAAATAGCTGCTAACAGCAGTAATTAATATTTTGGTGGTGTTCAGAAACAACCCCAGAGCATTTTATTTCCAGTAATATCTACCATGCTTTGCCCACATCCTAACTTGGTTCATCCTCTCTGTGGCTTCAGTTGAGGTGATGTTTTTCTCCACTTTCTTTCCTAAAAGTAGCTGATTGTGCTCACCTGAACTCCGAAACAGCTGCTCTGTTTCACGGGGGCAGAAACCAATCCTGGTTATTCTGCAGGATGATGTGATCACACAGCAAAAAAAATGAGAACCAGGTTCTGATTTGCCTGTTTCATTCATCTGAAAAAAGTGGATTCATCCCAATTCCTTGCTGTGAGGGTGCAGCCACATCGCTGGTTCGGAGCCAGCCTGGTTTCAGCCCCACGGGCCACGATATTCCACTGGCAGCGGTGAACTGCAGATCTGCCTGAGCACACGGCCAGATGACACTCCAGAATTAAAGATTGGTTCTTGGAAAGAAGAAAACAACCCACCCCTGTGGCTGCAGACTCCTGAGCAGGGTGTGCATTAGTCACGTTGGCTTGGAGTGCCCACACTGGCGGAGAGGTCATTTGTCAGTGCGGTCAAACACCTCGATTTCTTCGTCAGCAGCACACAGAGGGCTTGACCTCTTTGCTGCTTCCTGGTGTGTCCACGCTCTGGAAAGGCAGAGGAGTCTCTGCTCACACTGTTTTTTCCAAGGAAAAATCCCCGGGGCCTGTTTGGAGGAACCCACGGGTGGGTTCTAAAATTGGTGGTTGTTCTACAATTATTTTAATTTTTTTTTTTTTTTTTTTTGGATGTCTCCTTTCACAGAAAGACCCGTAGAGGATGGAGCAGGGAGCAGCAGAAGGGAAGGAGGAAGGTCTGATCGAGTTCTACGACTCCTTCAAGGACATGTTCGAGTTCTTCTGCAAGAACACGACCATCCACGGCACCATCCGCCTCGTGTGCTCCGGCAGCAACAGGATGAAGACGGCCTTCTGGACCCTGCTGCTCCTGGCCAGCTTTGGGATGCTCTACTGGCAGTTTGCTCTCATGTTCAGCCAGTACTGGGCCTACCCCGTGGTCCTGACCATGTCCATGCACTCCGAGCCCAAGATGTTCCCAGCCATCACCATCTGCAACCTGGATCCCTACAGGTATCCTGGGATTTCTCAGGAAGGGTCAGGGAGCTCCGAGGAGGTCCAAGAGGGAGGTCTCTGCCTCAGGGAGGTGGAAAGGGACTGTTTTGTTATTCCCAAGCTGGTTCTGGGGGATAAGATCTTGTCGGGAATTGTGCAAGAGTCGGATAAGATCTTGTTGGGAATTGTGTAGCAGTTAATTCCACGCACTGAGTCAGGTGAGAGGGAACTCTGCCCGTGGTGTGAGTTGTTGGCTGATGTTGTGCTCTGATAAAAACAGCCTTTCCCTGAAAAAAAACCTGGCTGCTGTGCAAGTTCCTTCCTAACTAAACTCCTGATGTCTGGAATAACGTGTGTCAAAGCTGACTCTCCCAGTTTTTTACTCCACAGAAATGGTGTAAGATGGAAATAATAGAATAAATAAGGCAAAAGTGCAGCTTGTGTGGAAGTCTGTGTGGCTCTGCTTGTCAGACAGGGCTCACACAGCAGTGGCCAAGTTATCACCAAGCTTCACATTACACAGTGAAGGAATTATGTAATTTCCTTGGAATAATTAGCTAGTTGGCTGACAGGAAGGCCAGTTTGTGCAGCTCTGCACAGCTGCATGTTCTGAGCTTTGCAGTGGAGGAGCCAACAACTGGAAATTCAGCTCCTGGAGCTCCTGATAAATTCATTTATCGGTGTGCTGAGCACAGACACCATAACTGCTGGATATTCCCACCCACACATCAAGCTCTGCAGGGACCAGAACAGCCCTTCCAGAGGCACTGAGAGCACATCAAATGCAGTGCTTCTGTCTCAGAGAAATGTGAGTGCTCACCAACAGCTGATCACTGTGCTCCTGGCAGATTTGAGCTGGTCAGTGAGCACTTGGTGCAGCTGGACCGCATGGCAGAGGAATCCATCACCTTCCTGTACGGCATCAACACCTCAGCCAGGCTGTTCCACATGAATGATGGCAACATCCACGTCAAGGACTTGCCCAGCATGGGCAACCTCAGCAGGTCGAGCTTCAAGCTGAGCCAAAACTTCTCCCTCCTGAGGACGACCGACCTGAGGTCGGGGAAGAAACATTCCAGCGTGGGCTTCAGGCTGGTGAGTGTGCCCTCCTGGAGGCTTCAGCTGGCTCCACACACACACTGCAAGGACTTGCTGCTCCCCCAGGGGCAGGGGGAGTCCCCCAGCAGGGCAGGATGGGGGGCCCAACCTCCCAAAAAAATGAGGCAAAACAAGCGGGGAAAACTCACAGTGAGCATCCAGGTCCAAGCAAGAGTCCAGCTCAGCTGGGAAGTTCCTGGTGATGGGGCAGGTTTGAGCTCAGGATGTGAAATTAGGCATCAGCAGGGTCCATGGTGGGGCAGGAGCCCAGCAAAGCCCTGCACCACAGCCCAAGAGAGGTTAAATGGACCCAGGGGCAGAGGGGGTGGGTGGAAGCCCCAGGGGAGGCTTTTCAGGGCCATTAAAGATCTCACAAGGCACACCAAAAAGGAAAAAAGGGAGGGAAAAAGTCCCTGTCCATCAGTTTATGCTGATGGTGAGGGTTGCTGTGGAGTAGAAACAGCAGCAACATCAGTGAACTGCCCCAGCCCAGCTTGTGAAGTCCTTCTGGCAGGGACAAATTCCTCAGGGAATGGGAGGAACAGGCTGTGGGAATCACTGCACCCTTTCTAAAATGGAGATTCAGCAGGTGACCCCAGAAATAACAGAGCAACAACATGCAGGATCCCTGAGTTCCAAGTGCTGTGCTACTGGAAATGCTGCAGATGAAACAAAACACAGCAGTTAAAAATTCAAGGGGGTGGATGCAGTAAATGTGTGTCTGTGGCCTTGGAAGAAAAGGCAAATCCTTCAGATTCTTCCTCTCAAAAACCTGGATGATCCAGGAATAGAAGCTTGGATTGATGTGGCTGGGAAGAGCAGCAATTTTTGCCTGATTATCATCATCCTGCCCTGTCCTGGAGTGCTGCACCAGGCAAACTTTCACCAGAACCTGTGGGTGTTCACCTGTCTGAGGCCTGAGTAAGAGCAGAGAAAGTGTCCCAGGGCTCTGTTCATGATTCATGGGCTGTAGAGAATTCCCACCGGGCCTGTCATCCCTTCTCCCGAGGTTCTGGAGTTCATTTGGCTGCTCCCTCCTCCTGCCCCTTCCCCCTGGCCTCGTTTCCCTGAGCTCAGCTGATGCAGCTCCAGGCAGAGAAGCTGCTCCCGCTCCCAAGATGCTTCCAGAGTTTCTTTCCAACCTCAGCCATTCTATGGGAACTAAAATCACCACAGACTTCACCCTCTGAGAAAAAAAAAAACAATTTTCCCTTATCCCTGTATCCAGTATTGCCTCTTTGGGGTCTCTGCCACCCTCAGGGTGTCGTGTCCTGGCTGTGCTGATCGTTCCCTTCCCTTTCCTTTCCCCCCCCAGTGCAATGCCACGGGTGGGAATTGCTTCTACAAGACCTATTCCTCGGGGATGGACGCGATCCTGGAGTGGTACAGGTTTCACTACATGAACATCATGTCCCAGCTGCCGGTGATAATCAACATTTCCGACCACGAGGAGCAAATAGAAGACATGGTCTACTCCTGCCAGTACGATGGGGAGCCCTGCAGGCCCAGGTGGGATTTCTCTTCCCACGTTCCCTCCTGTCCCTGCACACACCCCCAGGCAAAACACATCCCACACGATGATAAAGGTGCGGCCCCACTGATAATTAATCAAACCCCATCAACATCGCTCTTGGTTTCAGTGACTACGTCCACTTTCACCACCCCGTCTTTGGGAGCTGCTACACTTTTAACAGCAAGGGAACAGACCCTTTTTGGACAGCTACAAAACCAGGAATTCCTTATGGTATGTTATTTTTTTCAGGGGGAGGGGAGAAAGAGCTGAAGTTAATATAATTTGGCTGTGGATTAATATGTGCTCCATTCTGATATATGTTTTTTTGGGGGGAGGGGAAAGAGCTGAAGTTAATATAATTTGGCTGTGGATTAATATGTGTTCTGACATATTTAGCCCTCTCTTCTAGTCTTGGTGGCACAAATTCTGCGCTTGCTTCACCAGCCCCCTGTGTGAGAAGCCACATCAGCCATAACTTAGAGCAAGCAGAATGTTATTTTTGTTTTCAAACAGGGCATCATTGCAGTCATTATTGCAGTATATTACACCGGTGCAGCATATGATGGTATTATTGCAGTATGTTATGGTATTATGGCAGTATTTTGTGGTATTATGGCAGTTTTGGAACAGGCTGGAGCAATTGCTGTCCCTGTCCAGCTCTCCAAGGACGAAGAATGGCTCTTCTGCGAACTAAGACAGCACTTTAATCCGTGCTGAGAGTTGCAGATGTGCTGGTGCTGTTGTTTGGGCTCAAAGCAGGTTGTTTTGTGCTCCCCTCTGCTTGCTTTGCAGGCCTTTCCCTGATCCTGAGGGCGGAGCAGAAGGATCACATCCCGCTCCTGTCCACGGTGGCGGGCGTGAAGGTGATGATCCACAACCACAACCAGACCCCCTTCCTGGAGCACGAGGGCTTTGACATCAGGCCAGGCATTGCCACCACCATTGGCATCCAGCAGGTTGGCCCCTGGCTCCAGGGCTTTGTTCCTCCTCCTTTTTTTTTCTGCAGAGCTGTGAGGAGCTGGCACCCACTGACCCACTCCTGTCCACTCCTTGCCCTGGTGTATATTCATTCACACAAACCCCTTTTCCCTCTTTGCTGTGCTCAGGCTCCCATGGGTAAACCCAAAATTAGTCCAAATGTGGCCTTTTTTTTTTTGTCCTCAAATTGGGGCCTGATTTGTTTTACACCGAGACTTTTGCAGCTCTTAAATCTCCTTGCAGCTCTGCACCAGGGGAATGAGATTATGTTGGGATGGGAACTTCCAGGAGTGATTTGGTTACTTGGGCAGGATGAGTGGCTGCCTGTCAGCTGAACCACAGTGACTAAATACTAAATCAGGGGGTTTAGGGTGGATATCAGGGAAAGGTTCTTCCCCCAGAGGGTGGTTGGCACTGAACAGGCTCCCCAGGGTTTGGTCACAGCCCCAAGGCTGCCAGAGCTCCAGGAGGGTTTGGACAACGCTCTGAGGGACAGGGTGGGATTGTTGGGGTGTCTGTGCAGGGCCAGGGGTTGCACTGATGATCCTTGTGAGTCCCACTCCCCTCCTCTGCCCTGATACTTCATATTTATTATCAAAGTGTAGTTCAGCTGCTCTTCTGCATCACTGGACGTCCCGTGCTGTCCTGCTGCTCTCAGTGAGGTTTGGATGGTGATGGCTGTGCCCAATTAACACCTGCTAATCGCTCTTTTGTGTGTCCACAGGATGAGGTGAATCGCCTGGGTGGCAATTATGGGAAATGCACAACTAATGGGGATGATGTGGATGTGAAGCTGCTGTACAACAACTCCTACACCCTGCAGGTACTGGCTGAGCCCCGGGGCACAACAAAAAAAAGAGAGCTGGGAAGATTCTGTCTCCCAGAACTAAAATCAAGGAATGAGAAGTGAATCCTTTCACATCCTGGTGGCTTTTTGCAGTAACAAAACCTGTGCCTTGTCTCCTGGGAGCTGCACCCTCCACCCTGGGAGGGTGAATTCCTGGGTTACCCCATCTCTCTTTTTTTGCCTTCTTTATTTTCCAGGCTTGTTTGCATTCCTGCTTCCAGCACATCATGGTCCAGAAATGTGGCTGTGGCTACTACTACTACCCCCTGCCCCCTGGGGCTGAGTACTGTGACTACAACAAGCAGCCTGCCTGGGGTAAGAGCCAAGGACTGCTGGTTTGTCCCCACCCTTGGAGAAGGGAACACCCTCCTGCAGTACTCGCTGGGTTTGGGACTCCTTGGATCGCTCCTGCTTTGTGCCACCCCCTGCTTGGATAATCTCCTCACATGGAATCACAGAGGGGACCCACCAGGAGCATCCAGTCCAGCTCCTGGCAGATCCTCAGCAGATCCTCACAGGGGGTGAATCCCCTCTGGAACCATTCCAGAGGGAGAGGAGGGCTCTGAGTGTGTTCCTTCCATTCCTTTCCCCAGGGCACTGCTTTTACCAGCTCTACAACAGGCTCAGAAATCACCACCTGAACTGCTTCGAGCAGTGCCCCAAACCCTGCAGGTAGGTCCCAAAACCAGAGCTCAGAAATGCCAGCTTGGAGAAGTAGGGGAGGGAAATCCCACCAGTGACTGGGGGCAGCTGAGTGGAAAATCTATGGATCAACTGGATTTTTCTGAACCAGAGAGGTTTCAGTGTGAGGTTTGAACCCAAAATGCTGGGAAAGGGAAAAGATGGCATTAGACAAATTAATTAAATTAATCTTGTATGTCCAGGACAGCAAGGAGGGGAAATAGTTTTAGTCATCCTGCAATGTTTTATTAAGCCCAAACCAAGGTATTTTGTGTCATTTCTCAACCTTTACCACTTTATTTTCACCTTTTTTTATTGTGAGTCGGTTTCAAAATGGAAAGACGTGTTTTAAAGCAAAATACCAAATATTTTCATTTTGAATGTATCAAAATACCAGGATCTTGAAACCATTCCAGTTTTCCTCCTGACCTGAACAGTTTTTCAGGCAGCCTCTGGTTTTAATTTTCTAAGCTGACTTAGAAAGCTTTTCCCAAGGACCTCAAGAGCTTTCCCAGGAGCTTCTTCTTTGGGCAGGAGTTGGGATTGTTAAACTCCTTCGTGGCAGGAGTCACTGTGATCATAATCTCCTTTTTTTATCTCCCCAGGGAAAACCTGTACAAGGTGTCTGCTGGGACAGCAAAATGGCCATCAGCAAAGTCTCAGGTACTGCCCAGCCCCTGTGAGTTTTGGGGGGGTTCTACCCTTTACTGTGGCTGTTGAACAGTAAAATTAAGGGTGAAAACAACGGCTTGGGTGGCAGCAAACAAAGCAGACTGATCCAAAATATGGGAATGACCTTGTAGTTAAATAAAATACTATAATCCTAGAGTGGTTTGGGTTGGAGGGGACCTTAAAGATGTCTTGTTTCCACTCCCTGCCATGGGAAGGGGCACCTTCCACCAGCCCAGGGTGCTCCAAGCTGCCAGACTCCGATATTGGAGAGGCTCAGCCGATCCCTGATCCATCCCAAACTTCCCTGTGACCTTAAGCAACCTCCCTGCCTCACTTCCCACCTCCAAAGTGGGGTTAATGACTCTGCTCCAAGTGGGAGTTGTGGGGTGCCAGCTCAGCCCTGGTGCTGTTCACGGGGTGCTGCAGAGGCTCCCTGAGTCAGCAGGTGAGTGTTTCTCCTGTTCTGATGGTAAATGGCCAGGTCATTAATTGCTGTAGGTGATAATGGAGGTGTAAACACAACCAGTGCACTTTGAAAGAGGAAATTATCTGCTGGAGTTGCCATTAAAGGCAGAATGGTTTGCACACCTAAAACATCAGCGTGTATTTCCTTGATACTCTGGCAAATGTGGCTGGTGCTTGATAACCATCACTGCATGTTATAAATCAGCCAATTACAGCATTTTTTGTTATTTGCAATAGCCATTTGGTTGCTAAAAATCTACAGGGAAAAGACAGGAAAGCTCCATAGGTAGGATTGGCACTAACAGCCCTCTTTGCTGCAGGACTGGGTCCGCCAGGCTCTGAGGCACCAGAATGGGTATAACTCCACCAGCAACAGGTCAGTCCCTGTTAAAACTCGGGCTTGATTGACTCTCCATCCTCCCAGGATTTGTGGGTGTTAAGGCTGGGAAGGGAGGACCAGAGTAAAAACGTGCAGGGGTCATCCAGTGAACTTCCAGTGTCTCCTCACAGCACTGTGAGATGTTGACTCCCGTGAGCTTTTTCTCGTGTTGAACACCCTCAGGAAGGTTTGTGGGTGTGGGAACACCTTTATTGCCCAGGAATCAGCAAGTAAAACCAGCCAGGTGATGTCCCACCATCCCTAACTGCTCCCTCTCTCCCGTCCAGGAAGGACATTGCCAAGGTGACCATCTTCTACCAGCAGCTCAACTACCAGTCTGTGAACGAGTCTCCTCTGCTCTCAGTAGGTTCCACCACATCAGCTCCAAGCACTGTGACCTGTCATTAGTCTTGGGGTGTTAGGATGGCTGGAGGGAGGGTTATCCACAGCTGCCAGCATGGGAATATTCTCCTAAGGGAAGAGACTTGGAGTTTTCCCATTTTACACCTGATTCCCTCCCCAGATGGCAGCAGCAAACCGAGCTGCTGGCAACGGGCAGTGATTTCCTGTTCCCAGAGCTCTGCTGTGCCTGACAAACACAACCCTCTGACTCTTTCCACAGGAGAATCTGCTGCTGTCCAGCATGGGGAGCCAGTGGAGCCTCTGGTTTGGCTCCTCGGTGTTGTCTGTGGTTGAAATGTTTGAGCTGCTCATCGACACGCTGGTCCTGTCTCTCCTCTTCTGCTACCAAAGGCTCAGGTCCAAGAAGACACTGAGAGTGGCTCACACTGCCACTGTCCCCAGCGTGAGCCTGGCCCTGGAGAACTACAGAGCTGTGCAGGAAGAGGCTGGAAAAGGGGAGGATTCTGCTCAGCCTCCCTGCTCTGGGGTGGCTGTTGCCAGGCACAGCAGTGGGGACCTGCACCTTCACCCTCCCTCCAGCAAGGTGGGAATGCCTGAGAGTTGCCCTGAGGTGGTGCTGGATGGGTTTAGGGACACAAGGGACAGCAATCTGGGAGGGGAACCGAAGAGCTGAGGGGGTGTCTGTGTGCAGGGAGAAGTGGCAGACTGGGAACTCCTCTGATGCTGCCACAAAGGTGCCAAACAGAGACCTCCTGGATCCACGACCTGTGAGCACCTCCAGAGCACCCTGAGCCTGGAAATCCTCCTCCAGCTGCTGCAGCTTCCCTGCTAACCCATCCATGTGTCCTGCATCCAGGGTTACTGGATCCTAAGGAGTGCCTGGAGAGGGCAGAGCTGCACTTCTGCTCTTGGGGGCAGTTCCTGGAGTTTTCCCTCATGAAAGCCTGTTCACAGCTCTTGATTTCTAAACCCTTGGGAGGGAACCAGCCCGTGGCTTCAGACAGGCCCATCTACATTTCACAGACGGGCTCTCCAGCCTGGCTGCTCGTGGCAAGAATTCCAGTGGAGGCCTGGGATTGTGTGGGAAGGGGGTTGGAAGGAGGTGAGCTCTGAGGTCCCTTCCAACCCAAACCATTCCGTGATTGATTCACATCCAGGGTTGCCACGAGGATGGCAGAGCTTGCAGTAGGCTCTGATCCCAGCTTGGCTTCCCAGACACCTCTTGTCCTGAGCCTGTTCCTGTTGCATTTTGAGGCCAAGGCACAGGATGCTGCTGCTGAGATGCTTTCAGACCTACCCCAGATTATTTCAGACGAGACTGACCCTCCCTCAGAGGGAAAGGAAGAGAAGAAATGGGGTTGATACCTTTTTTTTTTAGGTGAAAAAGCATCTGATTCCTGTAGAAGAGGAAACAATGCTGCGTTTTTGTTGCAGTCCATTTATAAACAGAGATGGTTTAATGTTAATATTTGACAGTAACTTATATGTACATAAAAGAACACATTTATTTTTGATGCTGACATTTGCACAGGAGCATTTTACTCTCTTATAACCTCGTTTGTGACTTTCTGCAGAGAATGAGAGTTAACAAGAACTCCACGAGCTTTGTTTTGTAACTTTTTTTTAAATAATAAAATGCTCTGAATGCAACCTGTGACTGGGGGTAGTAGTTTGACTTTGTTTTACCTTCAACTGATATTTGGGGTCACTGTTGTCTAATTGCTGTTTTCTAAGTGTTGGCTCTGGAAACATCTTCTTCAAATGGTCCAGGAGCTTAAATTTCCAAGGCCAAACCATGGGAGGAGTTTTGCTTCCACACAGGGAGGTGGGATCCTCCCAACCCCTCAAGTTTGCTGCTGGCACCACTGGAAGCCAAGCCCCAACACGGTTTTGAAAGCCTCAGTTTTGCTTGATTTGGCTTTAATACCCGTCTCAAAGCACTAGAAAAATCACTGCACCTTGTAATTTAATTTCCAGGAGGAGCCAAGTTTGGGAGGAAAGGTCCCAAATCCTCTGTCCAAAAGGTCCCAGCAGGACCAGAGATGGAGCGGTGACGTCTCGTGGTCAGATTTGGCACGGGAGGGATGTGGCAACACAGGACAGGGATGGGGCAAATCTGCTTCCCACCTGCTGGTGCCACCTTTAGTAGAACTGGATGGTTTCCTGTGGGAGCCCAAGAACAGGTATCCAGTGTGGAGTTAGATCAGCTCACCCTTCACTGAGGGTGGGGAGCAATTTTCAGCTTAAAGGTCCCTCTTTATTACAGAACATCCCTCAGCCTGCTGCAAGTTGGGAAATCACCCCCCAAAATTGTGCAGGAGGGTCATCCCTTGATGCCTGTGATGTCAGCACTGAAATATCTGCCCTGTGTGGAGGTCTTACACCCAACCCGAGCTTTTCCAGCGTGGAGCAGAAATTGAGACCCAAAAGGGGGCCACTTGTGCTCAGAATCACCCAGCAGTGAGTAAATCCAGTCCCAGCTCCCTGCCCCAGTGCCAGGCTGGTCTCTGCTGGCCCCCAGAGCCTTCCAGAGCTTGTTGGAGCAGGAACATCATCATCCCACCAGTTCTGGAGCAGAACAACCTGCTGAAGGGCACCAGCAGATAATAACAGCTCTCTGTGACAGCAGAGGTGAAGGCACAGAGTTCAGGTGTCCCAGCAGCGCTGCCAGGATGAATCTCCCAGTGCAGGAATGGGGTTTTTATGCTGCAATTCTCGGGGTAATTAGTCACCAGCGTCCCATTAGTGACATCTTTGCTTCTACATCTGCCTGCTTGACTGTTTGTGAGGCAACTTTGGAGCTGCTGAGCTCATTTTCCCCCCCCGGGGGTGAACCCAGGGTAGCCACAGGGGGGGAGATAAGGGAAGGATCGCAGGTATTCAGTGAATACCTTTAATCTTTCACACAGAACTCCTTGTTTGACACAGGCAGACAGTGCCACTGTCACTAGCAGGCAGCAGGACAGAGAGTTGCTGGCAGGAGCTGATCTCGCTGATAAAATCATGAATATACCCTTTGTGAACATTTGTCAAGTGTCTCCCAAACCCTGTGCCTATAAATTTACTGGAATATCCCGCAGCTCTCCTTCCATAAATGCCTTGGAAATGACTGGAATGCTCCTGATTCCCAAGTAGCCACCCTATTTAACTCCTCCACTGAGTTAATGAGTCTACCTGGATCCATTAATTGGGTTCTATTTGTCCCTCCAGAGGAAAACAGGATTTATTCCACAATTTCCCTTTCTGCACTTGTGTTTTCCACGCTGGGTAGGAGAGAAATCACGAGGCCAGGCCAGTCTTGTCTTTTCTCCTTCTGATTTTATTTTTTCTGCCACAGACACACAGGATGGGGGGGGGTGGGGAAAGGATTGCACTGGGTGGGAAAGGGTGGTCCATGTGCAGAAGGGATATTTTCCATGGAGTGCAAGGTCTCCTGGGACAGGACAGGCACCAGCAGAGTCAGGAGCAAGGATTAACTGATTCAGACTCTCAGGAGACACGAGTGGGTGGGTTGGGGCAGGTTGGGGTGACCTGAGCCTGTCACCTTCAGCCCAAAGCAGCCTGAAATTCCACCATGACGAGGCAGAGTCGCAGAAACCCAAGCAAAAAAATGCATTTTTAGTATTTGTGTGGCATTCCAGGCCTGCTCAACTGCCTGTGGGCTGCAGAGGGAAAGGGAAACAGGTTAAAAGGGGGGGTTCTAGATCCAGTTAATACAGGCAGCAAGGCAAGAAACCCTACATCAATAAATCAAGCAGAGAAGGAGGAGGGAAGGAGTTTATCTAGATTTTTATTGACAGTGCTTCAAGAGACCATAGAAGAGAAGGGAAAAGGGGGGAGAGAAAAAAAAAGGCAGACACCACAGCAACAGTTTTAAAATTGTACAAAGATAATAACATACAGAATATCTGGTTCCATGGTTACAGTCAGTCCAGGCTGTGTAGGGAAAAGGGGGGGGGGGGGAAGGTGGGATTAAAAAACCTATTACAAAGTTGTACTGAAAAGCAGGCAAGTGAAGGGAGGAGGTTAATAAGGTTACAGCTTTATTTACAAGCCACCAACCACACTCAGCAGCTCTGGCCTGGCTCCAGGACTTGTTTCTGCCTGTGCTGTTTGGAGAGGAAGGGGTGGGAGCCCCAGGAAGGGAACTGAGAGGTCCACAGAGCCAGGGCCAACCTGAGGTGTCACTGCCAGGTGTTCCCCACGGGAGCAGGAGGACGGACAGGACCCGAATGTGCCCCGTCCTGGCCCCCACGGGGAGGAAGGTGCTCAGTGCTGTGTTTGTGGAGCAAATGCTCCTGGCTCCAGACATTCCTCCCTGTCCATCCCAACTGCTGCACTGGGAGCACACGAGGTCCTCCTCATGCCTTGGAAAAATCCCTTGGCTACAACCCTCTGGCTCCTCATTCCCTCCCCACAACCATCACCCACCAACACAGCTCAGAATGGATGTACCCTCCCCTGCCCGAATTCCCAGCAGGCTGGGAATGCTGGGAGCCCCATTCCCATGGAAACAGTGCTCCTGTATTTTGGAACCTCCAAAAAAAACCCCCCCAAAAAAAACCCAACAAAAAAAACACCCCCTTAAAAATAAATCTTGTTCCTCCAGAACTCCCCCTCTCCCTTCTGCTGCTCTTCTTCCCACCCCCTCCTCCTCCTCCCCGTGACAGCCCCACACTCACACACACGTGCACACTTCCCAGAGATGTCTGGCACCAGCCAAGCCACGGTTTGATGTCACCTTTCAGCCTGGTTTGTCTTTGGTTGAAAGCAATGATGCTCGGGCAGCGAGGGGGACACGTGGGCTGGGCACTGTCCAGCAGCACAGGGAGCCTGGCAGGGACAGCCACGTCGTGGCCACTGGACAGGGAGTTCATCAGTGCATTTCTTTAGGAGGCCCTGGGGTTTTTTTTTCTTGCATAAATAACGGCCATTTTTGCTGCTCTGAGATGTTGCTGATCTAATTCTTCAAAAATCACCTGTTCAGTTCTCTACTCGAAGGTGCAGGATCATCTGCTCGATGAACTCAGAGGTCTCTTCCAACCTTCGTGATTTTATTCTTTATGATTTTATCACAATCTCAGCTCCTCACACCTTTTTTTTTTTTTGTTGTTAAAGACATTCTTTAAATGCCTTTAAATTCTTCCAGTTCCAGTTTTCCCCCTCGTTCCCCACTGCAGGGACCATCTCAGAGCCAGCAATATTAAAATAACCTGAGGCTTCCCTGGATGAGAGGGAACACAGAGGGGATTGTTTCAACTTGCCAGCAACCCTGAACTCATCCCACCTGGAATCAGGGACGTGTGTGAGTGGCAAGACCCCAAAGATTCAAACCTACCTGTCCAGGCACTTGGTTACAGGGGTTGTTGGATCAAATAAAAGCGAGGACAGGTAGAGAAAAATATTCACCCAAGATGTCAGAAACTCAAAGGATGAAGGATCCATGGGGTGGTTTTGGGGTCCAGCTGGGTTTGGGGCAATGCCTGGCATGCTGCTTTCTAGACAAAAGGCAAATTTCCTCATGTTTATCTGTGGTTGCAACCAAGTCACCATCAGAGAGGGAAAAACAAACCTGCGCTTTTGAAAAAGAAAGAAGAGGGGAAAAGAAAAAAAAAAAAAAGGGTAGTTCTGGCATTAGGCATCTCAAACAACACAAATCCAGCTGTAGTGGAAGCAGGGAAACGAGAAAGTGTTGGATTTCTCATCCTCCCTGGAGCCTGGTGAGCCATTTCCTTCGCTGAAAGCAAATTATCTGCTCAACTTCCCCACTTTCCCCTCCAAACTTTCCAAACACACACACACACCCCCCCAACCCCCAAGCAAAACAAAAACCAAATAAAAGAAACACAGAAAACATCGGGAAGTGCCTCCTTAGCATGTTTTTTCCTGGAGAACTTTTTTGTTTTGGAAAACTGCGGGGTGTACTCAAGTGTTGGGTTATATTTCAAATTCGAGGCGTTGTAATTCAAATTATAACACCTTTGTTGGGTTATAATTCAAATTTAATACCTCATGATCTGTATAATGAAAATAGAAGAGAAAGGGGAGGAGAGGGGTGAAGGAAAGAAAGGAAAATTGTGTGTGTGTGTATGGGGAAAAAGGCAGGTTTTGAAAAATATTCCCTAACGATGCTACAAAAAAAAAAAAAATCCTGACATTAAATACAGACAAACTGTATTGAATAAAAATTGCACTAGTCCTCTGGGCACATCAATAATAAATTAAATACTTAACAATTTCACTGATTAAAAAAGACAGCACAAAATCCATAACAAAAGAACATAAAACCCCCCAATACTGTAATGTAGGAAAAGTGCACAAAGTTGCTTTATACATTGAATCTAAATAAAGTACCAATACATGTTAAATAGATAAATTGTCTTGCAAGACACTGCTTTTTGCATCAGTATTTACATTTGCTTTAACTTCATGTACTTCAGCAGTGAGTCTGAGCTTCAAAGGACCGAACTGTACATGATTTTTTGGATGTTCCCGTGAAATAAAAACGACCCAAAGCGGAAGCCACAGTTCTCCCGGGGCTCACAGGAAGGATCAGTTTGTATTTCTAACTTCTCCTAAAAAGCTGCAAAAAACCAATTGGGGTGTTTTAAGTCGCTGTACATGTTAAAAAAAAAAAAACAAACCAACCCAATGAACCCATTGCTGGACAATGAGCACGCTGAGATCCGTGAGCAGAGCAGGACCGTGGCAGTGGTGAAACAGGGATTTCCCTCTCAGGATATCTGAGGTACCCTGAAGGATTCCAGCTCGGGAAGGGCACGACTTGAGGGCACATCAGCACCAAAAAAAACCCCAAAAAACCATCATCTGGATCGATGCAGGTCGGTGTTTAAACCGGGATGGGGCTGGAGAGAGGAGTCACCGCTCGGCTCCCAGCCCGGGAAGCAGAGCGAGCTCGTGGCTGGGTACTGGTGGTGGAGAGCGCTCCAAGTGCTGCTCTGGGTGGCACAGGGGGGTGGTGTGATGGAACCCTGAGCACAGCACGGCCCCACAGGGCAGGCACGGGCGTTGTTGCTGGGTCTGGGGGGGATGGGGGGCTCAGCACCACTGGCCACCAGCGGCCAACCCCACCCCGGCCCTGCAGGGAGCTGGGGGGGCTGCAGGGCTTTGCTCACACGGGCATTTCCACACTGCAGGTTTGGTCCTGGCCACGCTCAGGCTGACTGCAGCACCTCCAGAGCAAAGGGGCTCAGCTGGCAGGGAAGGGATGGCAAAGGGGGCGGTGACCCCTGGCACTGCCCTGCTCGTGGGTTGGGGAAAAATTGAAACTTGAGGTGGTTTGGATCACAGAGAAGCCAAATCCCCAATGCAAATGACTGAAAGATGAAGCTCCACGAGCGTGGGAAGTGGTAACCTCTGTGTCCTGCAGGAGAAACACAGGGGGAAGAGATGCCCAACCTTCCCACGGGGGGCAGGAGGATGTTCAGTGCAAACCGAGGGGCACCAAGAAGCAGCACTGCCACACCCAGGGCACATCTGCCTGCCTTTGGCATCACTCAGCCAGCTTCTGCTCCAGAGTCCCCATCCAGTGGTGACTCCAGAGTCACCCGTGGGTGCTACAAAGTCCCAGCTCTCAGTTGTCCTCTGAACTAGGGATTTGCACATCCCAGCTCCTCTGAAGTGTAGCAAGGGCGGCATTTTATGCCAAGCTGCTTCATCCCACACGTGGTCCTGAGTCACTGCTGAGGGTGCCAGAGCTGGGCAAAGGATGAACAGACCATGGGTTCTGCCCTCTGCCAGCTGCAGGGCCTGTCCTACAGCTTTCACCCAGGGAGAAGTTCAGAGGGAGCACTGCCTGCTCCAACACCAGGCATTGAGCAGCTAAGAAGGGAGAATTTTCATTTCCCAAGACTGCTGGAAGGAGATTGTTCCTTATTTAGAGAAGCATGAAAGGCCCTGGGGGCAGGTTTTGCACTGCAGAGCCCCCAGGGCCAGTCCAGATTCAGACACTGGGAATCAGAACTGAGCCCTTTGGGATTGGGCATCCCAAAACTCCAACGGAATGAGAAAGCAACAAGACAAAGATGCACCTCCAGATCCAGGCTGCACAGCCAGAAAACTGCTCTGGCTGCAGGAAAACTTGGGACAGGACTTCCCTAAGGAAGCAGGGACTGTCCCTTGAACCAAGAGGACCCTACAAGAGACTGAGTGGAGTTTATTGATCCACCTGTAGCTGTGTGGGTGGACACCAAGAGCTGCTGGTTCAGTCTCTGAGGGCACAATTAGAGCAATAGAAACAAACCTACAAAGGTTTCCCCCACTAAGGGGTTCCAGCCACTGAGGGGTGAGCAGGGCAGCAGCCAGGCTGCAAAAGTGTGAAGTCAAACGTGCAATGGATGATAAAGAAGATGATTTTGTACCACTGCTGATGGAACGCAGGAGGATGGGGAAGTCTGCCTGGGATTCTTGCTTTCCTTGCAAGCTCCTGACCCCCTCAAAATCCCAGGACAATCCATAAGGCACTATGGCCTGACCCCAGAGCCAGCAGCCTCGGTGCCCAGGCAGGGGACTGTCACCCACAAGTCCTGACAAACTCTGATGCCAATTGCAGTTGGGGACGTTGGGAAGAGGCTCTTTACAGGAGCACAGCTCAGCATCCAGGCTCCCAGCCAGAGGGAACACAGTGGTGCCTGTGCTCTGCCAGCCCTCCCAAGAGAGGATGACACAGCCCCAGCAGCTCTGCAGAGACACAGACCATCAGCACAGCAACAAAGTGCTCTGAGCAGACCCACATTCCCTCACTCCAGCAAAGAACACCACGAGGAAAAGGAAAGAAACACCAAGAGCATCCTGCTGGTCCCCGGAACCAGGGAACTCCAGAGCCCCCGGGCCAGCTGCTGAGCCGCTCCGGCATGCAGGGGGTGAGCACAGAGGGAACACATGCAAGTGGAATTCTCCTTCCCAGAGGTGCTGTCAGGAATCTGAGGTGACCAGGACACAAACCGAGCTGCAGTCCCAGCGCAGGCGCAGCCGTGGCGGGGGCTGGACGTGGCTTCTCTTCCCTGACACACAAAGCCCATCGCCAGCGACAAGCTTCTCCCGGCCGCCAAAAATCAGCACTGCCACTTCCACAGCGCTTTGTGCACTCTGCACCTTGGCCCAGGAAGCAGGAGCTATGGCTTTGACCAGCTAAACCACCGAGGGCAAAAAAAACCAAAAAACAGAGGGGAGGGCGGCTGGTTTAGTCCTGAGAGCAGTTAAAGTGAGGAGCCGTCGCTCTCAGCCCTACCCCATCTGTGCCTCCTGCAGCAAAACGTCTCTGCCCCACAGAGCAGCCTGTTCCTGATTTAGAGGTCGTCTCTTAAGTTTTCTGAGCTGCTGGTCAGGCTGCCAGGACCCAGAGCTCCACGCCAGGATCCCTCCCAAGCCAACTGTTCAGACAAGAGCTCAGCGCAGAGCGGTTGCACTGGGGCAGAGACAGCTTCGTCAGCTCGTGTTCTTGATGGGTTTCTCCTGGTGAGAGAGGGTTTTCCTTTTCTCTTTTCTTCTCTCTCTCTCTTTTTTTTTTTTTTTTTTACCCTTTTTTTCTTTTTTTCTTTTTTTTTTTTTCTCCTTTTCTCTTTAATGCTAAACTCGTCTCCCACACTTCTCACACACTCAGGTCCACAATGCCATGGTCTGTGGTTATGCCCTGGGAGTCTCCTACGCAAAACCAACCATCCAGTAGTCAAGCATTGAGAACTTAATGCTAACAAGACCCCCTTGTCCCTTCCTGTGTGCAGCTCAACCTATATGTGCAGGCATCAAAAACAGACCAATCTGCAAGGAACACCAATATAACCAAGGGTGGGGCTTCTCAGGGCTTCTGGGAACTTCAGGCCCAACTTCAAGACAGCAGAGGGGACGTGGGGGGAGTTGTCACTAACACTCGTCTATGTTAAGGCTGATGAACTCCTGTATGCACTTCCTGTACTGCAGCTCAGTGGGGCTGTTGCTGGGATATTGCCCTGGTTGTCCGAAGGGACCCTCTGCTTCCCGCATTTCCTCGTTCATCCGAGCCAGACGCAGCCTGGAGCGGGGACAGAGAGAACACAAGGAGACAGAGGGTTGGTTATTCCTTCCCTGGTGGCAATTTTCCTGATCCAAGCTCAGTCATTACCTCTTTTTGAGGTGAATGTGAAATAACCTAAAGCGGGGAACTAAAATACCACTTTTTTTTTTAAGGCCCAGTGCTGTGTCCTCTGCACACCCAATTGGGAGTATGTAAGATAATTTAACTAAATAGATGCACTGAAGCTAAAAAGATTAAGACATCCACCAGTTTCAGTTTTAAAAAAATACCCAAACTCACCCATGGGGCGTGATTAATTCTAGCGAATTCCTCCCAAGGAAGGGTTATGCTGTATTTTCTGGCATATTCTTTCTGACTGTGCACTGAAATGTTTCCCATTGACCCTCGGATTTCTGGCAGACTCATTTCTCTCACTGCCAGAGGTCAAAATTTACTAAGGGCTCAGTAGAGTGCCCTGGCAGCACTCACAGGGTGACGATGTCTGCGTTGGCCGCCTGCACCGCGATGCTCAGCGGGTCCTGCCCGTCGCCGTCCACCGCGTGCTGGTTGGCCCCTCTCTTCAGGAACAGGCACACCTGGCTGCAGGAGGGACAGCAAGGACCATCAGAGCAGAAATTCCAGCTCCCCCAACCCCTCAAAGAGATATCTTCGAGATATCTTCCTGATATCTCATCTAACCCTCCCCTCTGTCAGGGTTCACGTTGCTGATATGATATAAAAGGCATGTTTGCAAACCACCAATTCCCCAAAAACCAGCTCCTGTGCCCACCTCACCCCTGACTCTTGGTGTTAAGGCTGGATCCTGATCCCAGGGGGATGGAGAACGTCCCAGGAAGGTGCAGAGCACTCACCCAGTGTGGCCCAGGTACGTGGCGTGGTGCAGGGGGGCCCGGCCTCGGCTGTCTCTTTGGTTCACATCTGCCCCGTTCTGCAGCAGGAATTCACAGGCTATCAAGGAGCCCTGGCAAGGAAAAGAGGAATTTTTACACGTATCCATCCAGGGAGGATGCACAAGGGATGTGCCAGGCTGTGGTCAGGGCACTCCAAACTGCAGTCAGGACCTCACCACTCCCCGGGGTGTCCCCACAACGTACCCCCTTCACAGCTTGAATCAGGGGAGTTTTGTTCTCGTCCTCGTCGTTCACCCAGTTGATCTCAGCACCGTGAGCGAGTGCTTCTGCCATGAGGGGCAGATTTCGGGCTTGTGCTGCCTTGTAGATCAACAAGCCGGGGTGCAGCTCCCTCAGGTCCTCCAGGTCTGATGCCTCCTGCTCAATCTCTGCTTCCCCGCTGGACTCCTCGGACACCTCGCACTCTGAGAGGCAGGAAAGGATGGAGGGGGATGAGCCAAAAGCCTCACACTTCCAATTTCTCACGTTCCCTGTTGTTCCTGACACCACACAGCCCTGATATCCACCCTGCCTTAGCTGCCACCTCAGTTCCCTCCATGACACCTGATGTCTAAAAGCAGAGAAATAATTCCCTGGACTATTTTTGAGCATTAAAAGGCAAAAGCACTTCTTAGCTGCAACACCAAAGGGTGCACAAAAATATTTTGCACACACTGATTGCACAGGCTTTTCCAATTTTATACCACCATCTGATTAAAATAGTCAGAATCTGGTTAGAATATTTAGACTTTACCTCATCTGTTACACCCACTTCCAAAACCGTCCTTCCCACAGCACCGACCTCACCACACCTCTCAAATTGGAGTCGCTGGTCCCAAAAAGACCATCTCTTCATCTTCCTCTGACCCTCCTGGAACGGTTTCAGGGCTCCTGCTCAGCTTTGACCCACCCATCTCAAGTGTTCTGTCTCATCACACCCACCTTCCTCCGTCACGCTGTCCACCACCGAGCCGAACACCAGGATGTCGGTGCTGCCGTCGGTGCTCCCTCCGAGCCCACTGTCACTGCTCAGACCTGCGGGGCCAACAGGACACAAACCAAGCCCATTTTAACACCCAGGCCCTCCAGAAGTGGGCCCAGCTGAGAGCACGGGGGGGACGGGGCTGCGCAGGCCGTCACACGCACACTGCCGCCGGCGGGGGACAGGGCACTGCTCTCCCACTTAGCCCCACTCGGAAAAACTGCCCAAGGAGAAACTGCAAAGCCTTATGGTGTCCGTGTCCCCACGCTGCCCTTCATGCAGGGATTGCTCCAGCACTGCCAGGGCACTTTGGACCGCTGAGGGCTGCAATCCATGAGGGACGCCGTGACGGAGACTGGAGCGGAGCAGCAGCAGAGACAGCTTGGCTTTGCAGCAGGTTGGGGGGGTGTCACCGGCAAACAAAGACACCCCTCTGCTTTTACCACTGGTCATCTCGGTTTCCTCTCCATCCCTGCTCTGCCCAGAGCTCTGCACTTGTCACTGGGGCACTTCTTTTTATGGACCGTGGCTGGGCCAAACCACATCAGCTGTGTGATGTGCATCCTGGGCCAAGCTCTGAAAGCACCTTCCACTGGCTCTTCCACCTTCCCTTTGCCCACAGTGCTTCCCAAACTCCCTGCTTAGCTGGTGAATGTCACAAGACAGCTGACTGCATCCAAGAAATGGAGTCAGGAATCATTGAATCATGGAATGGTTTGGGTCGGAAGGGACCTTAAAGCTCGTCAGTCCCACCCCCTGCCATGGGCAGGGACATCTTCCACTATCCCAGGTTGCTCCAACCTGGCCTTGGACACTCCCAGGGATGGAAGCGAAGAGATGAAGCCACCTGTCCAAGGACACACAACGTGTCCGTGGCAGAGAAACTTTCTCCCTTTCCCAGCTCACACCCAAAAGCAGCCAAGAAAACAAGAGAAAGGAAGAAAGAAGCACATGCAGGAACTGCTCCTGCAGGAAAAGGGATGGCACATCACCTGTGTCCTGAGGGGTGCCTGGCCAACTTTGGGAAATCTGTCTGGATTCACCTTCTTGCTGCTTTTAACTCCAGAGGTAAAGTTCCCACGATCTACCCCAAGACCTACCACTGTGATTAGGAAGGCAAACAAGCCAGGATTGCAGCTGACAATGTGTTCCTACAAGCAAAGAGTAAGGGCAGGGAAGGCTGCAAGAACTTACAGATCTGAGCCTTGAAAGCCATGGCAGAACAAGGCAGCTGACCCTTAAAGGCTGTTCAACTGCCCAGAGCAGCTACAGCAGGGCCCCAGATAAAGAAAGCAGCCCTGAAACGGTGCAATCCTTCAGCTCTGCCCAACAACCGAAGGAGGTAAGGAAGCCACAGCGGGAAAGGTTTAAAATGGCACATGTCACATGGATCTTTTTTTGGATCTGCTGTCAGAAAAGCCATTGCTGTTTTTAGCAGGAAAAGCAAACACTGCCTGGTGAGACCGCGCTCTCACTCTGGCACTGCGAGGGAAGTGTCGCTCCAGCAGGGCCACGTGGCTCCAGATTTGCAGCAAGGCAAGAAAGCCTCGAGGATCTGGCTCATCTCACATGGATATTAATACACCAAAATTCCCACTGAATCAGGGATAAAATTGCTGTTTTTTTCTACAAGAGCAAGATAAGGCTGTTGAGCCTTAACTCTGGAGTTAACTCTGGAGTCCTGCATCTCCCAAGTAGTTTCTGTTGACTAATAACACTAAATTCCTTGAAACTGGAATAGCCCAGGCCCTGATTCAGACAAGCCCTTTTCTTCACTGATTTCAAGGGAGACGGTGGGCTTGGAGGAAAGCCTGGGAGTTTCTGCTGTGCTGACTCAGGACTGCAAATATTTGTTGTAAATTCATACAACAACAAGCAACTGAGCCAGGAAGTTCTAAGAAGTCACCACTCCTGAGCTCAGGATAATGGATAACGTGGCCAGCCTGAGACAGATGGGGAACACTAAATTAACACTCCACAGAGTCACACAGGTTGGAAAAGATCACCGAGTCCAGCCTTTGACCCAACGCCACCCCAGCAACCAGACCTTGGCACTCAGTGCCACATCCAGTCTTTCCTCAAACACCTCCAGGGATGGTGTGGATGTGGATGATTCCACAACCTCCCTGGGCAGCCCCTTCCAATGCCCACTCACTCCTTCTGTGTAGAACTTCTTCCCAACATCCAGCCTAAACCTCCCCTGGCATGGCTTAAGATTGTGTCCTCCCTGAGATCCCAGGACTGTACCCGAGGAACAGTCATTCCTTTAAGGAAATAACCGGCAATTTTAAGGAATCATTTTGCCTTTTGGAAAGCCCCAGGTAAAAGGGAGGAACTCCAGCCATTTGGCTGAAGGAAAAAATCCACGATAAGCGCTTTGGAATGTCGGCGTGGAAGCAGTGAAATTTAGGGGGGGTGTCTTTGGCCGAACCTCGGTGTGGAAGCAGTGAAAATTTGGGAGTCTCTTTTGCTGCTGGCTGCCAGAGCGTCACCTTACCTCCGTCCAGGAGGAACGGCGAACCGCTCCCACCGGGACCAATGCCACTGCCACTCCAGGGGCCACCTGCGAGCGGGTGCTGCTCAGAGATGTGGCTGGCACCTAGAGGAAGGTGGACGGAACGTGAGGGGAGGTCATCGGCACCAACACAAAAAAAAAATAAAATAATAAAAAATAATAATTAAAAAAAATAAAAAAAAAAAAGAGAGAAAAAATTGCATGTGGTAAGATCGGCTGGAAAAAAATTGGGGGAAATGGTAAAAACAGGGAAAAAATGGGGAAGAATGGAAAAAAGGGAATTAATGGAGAAGAATGGAAAAAAATGGAAAAATGGGGAAATGGAAAAAATGGAAAAATGGGAAGAATGGAAAAATTGAAAAAAATGGGGAAGAATGGAAAAAAGGGAAAAAATGGGGAAGAATGGAAAAAAGGGAAAAAATGGGGAAGAATGGGAAAAAATAGGGAAAATGGGGAAAAATGGGGAAAATGGGAAAAAATGGGGAAAATGGGAAAAAATGGGGAAAATGGGAAAAAATGGAAAATAAGGACAATGAAGAAATGGAAAAAAGTGGAAAATGAAAAGATGGGTAAAATGAAAAATGAAAAAAATGGAATATGAAAAAATGGAAAAGGGAGAGGAAGGAGAGGAAGAAGAGGAAGGAGAGGAAGGAGAATAAAAATGAAAAAATGAAAAAAAAATTTAAAAATTGCAAAAAAATTAAAAATAAAGAGAAAAAATTAAAAAAGAAAAAATGGGGAAAAAAATGAAAACCAGAAAAATAAAAGCCAATGGAATGCACAGCCTGGGAGTCAAAAAAAAAAAATCCCATCCACCAGAACGCAAACATCAGGGACTGACTGGAGAGTGGGTTGAAATCAGTGCAATTAAAGAGCAACGGGTCAGAGTTTGGGCAAGTAACTCCTCATCACTGCCAAAATATTCACCCTCTGCTCTGAGGGCAAGCCCTGGCCGGGGGTGTGGGCAGTGCCCAGGCCCTGAAGAGCTCAGAGCAGACACTCGGTGTGCACTTACTGCGAGGGCCGGAGCCGGCGCCGGTGTCGAAGTAGGAGAAGAGGGAATCCAGCTCGTCGGGGCAGAACAGGGAATCCCGGCGGAACTTCCTCTCCAGGGTGGCTGCTGTTCCACACAGAGACATTTTGGGATTTATCGTTATTAACGTGCAAACGAGAGCCAGTTCTCCAGCTGTGTTCAATCAGGCTGAGCACGCCCAGGTGTGTCCCCTTACGCCAAAATATAACACACTGCTGACCAAACGTGGTGATCCACTGCACACCAACCACCCCAGGGTGGTGATCCACTGCAAACCTACTCATCCCAGAGCATTCTGAGCGGCCAGAACCCTCCCTAGAGCAGCCAGAACCCTTCCTGAGCGTGGCCTCCCTTACAGACCAGGCAGGTAAAAATAAAAGGATTTGAGACTTTATGAAAAAGCACGAACGCAAAAGAAAACGCACAAAGTGGAACGACCTCCTCCTCCTTTAGCCACGAGAAGAAGCTCCTTAAACAGATGGAAAACGTTAGGAAATGGGTCTAAAGACCTGTGCTAATGTGTGCAAATTAGGATTATAGCCAGGGCAGGTTTGCAGGTCCCAGGGAGAGCCGGGGCCAGGGGCTGTCAATGGGATAGCTGGGGACGTAGCAGGGGGCACAGGGATGCTCCCACCTGAGGACAGCATGGCTGGGGAGGCATTCCCTGCCTCGTGCCGGTACTTCCTCCGAGCTGTGGGTGCTTTCGTGGTGCTGTTGTGCCTCTGGCACTTCTTGACGCACCAGCGCCGCGGCTTCCGCTCGTTCTCCGTCAGAGCCTCCCCACTCGGCAGCTTCTTCAGGAACTTCTTCTCCACGTACTTCACCTTGATCCAGGCCTCCTTGTCCTGCCTAAGAGAAGGGCAGCCTCAAGCTGTGCACAGAGTCACAAGTCACGAGGAGATGGAGCCGCCCTGGGGGATTTTACCGGCCCGGCTTTGAGACCTAAAATTCAGGTTTCTCAAAGCTAAAAATATCTGCTCTAAGAAGTGCAGGGTGCAGCTGAGAGTAGAGTGGGACGTTCAGCCCTAGGCACCACCACGTGCTTCAGGTCTCAGAGCAGGTGTAAACCCAGCCAGTCCTGGTTTCCAGCACGTTTCACCAGGGCTGGTATTGCCCCTCCTGACCTTCGTGAGGGTCAAGCTCAGGTGAGCTCCAGAGGGACTGAGTTGAGGTGGGTGTACCTGAGGTATTTTAGAGCCCTCCTAATCTGCCCTTTCAGGGAGTTTGGGCTACTGGGCTTGCAGTGTGGATGGATGAATGGATGGAGGGATGGTTTCCCACAGGACAGAGAGGAGCAGTGTGTGCCCCCACACTCACCTGGAGCTCCCCGCTGTTGGTTTCTTGAGTCCCAGCTCTTCACACTGTGCCTCGTAAATCTGATTCATGGTGCTGTTCCCCAGCTCACACATCAGCTGCAATTCAACAGGGATGAATTAAACCCCCAGGTGAGGAGTTACCTTCCTTCCAGTCTATCCTGCCACCAAATAACACTCCCTCCATGCCCACCACTCATCCATCTCTTGCTGTTAAATTCCAACACTCACTTTCAGTAACTCTGGCTCCCAGGAATCCAGCGTGAGGGATCTGACCTTGGAGCAGTGAACACCCAGACTCCTGTTGATCCAAGAGGAAGAAAACCAAAGTGGTTACACGCCTCAAAACAGAACTTCTTATTCACCTTGTTCAGATGAGCAAGATTGGTCCAGTTCTTATTTATCTCCTACCCAGATGCAGCTACAGCAGAGTGGAGGTACCTGCACACACAGGTACCTCAGCAAGCAATTGCTTTTGAATTTATCTGGACAAGCATTTTAGTCAGTGACAATTCCACCTCCAGCCTTTCCCCCAGGAGCCTGCAATCCACGCCTGGCTCACACAGAGCACACACACAGTACCTGTGGATCCCTGAGCACTCGATGCACAGCAGAATGCCCAGGTTGATGCTGGCCCAGCGAGGGTCTGGCTGCCCACAGTCACAGCACTGGTCATTCCCAGGGATGCTCTGCACCCTCTGCAGGATGGTCTCCCCTTTCCCGCTGCGCTCCCGGGAGTCGGTGGCGGAGTCGATGCTGCTCGTGGAGGGGGAGGCAGTTCGGTCCAGTCTCTGCAGGGAAAAAGGGTTCAAGGGCTCTGCAGAGCTCTGTGGAACAAAGCAGGCTTTGCACAGCAGAGGCACTGACAGGAGGAGAATGAGCTGGTGCTAATTCAAGAAGGGAAGGGGGAAATGGGGGATGTTTCCTCGCTCACCTCGATGTAGTAGCTGTCCGGACTCTCCCGGTAGGCAGAGGCAATGCTGGCCTGCACAGCCTGGATCCAGGCCTGGCGCAGCTTCTCCGAGTCAGCCTGCAGCATGCAGCTCCTGAAAGGCCAGGGGAGCAGTTGGGAAGAGCAAGAGGACATTTTGGTCAAGACTGTTCCCCTTCTTCCTCAGCCTGGACATTCCAGTGTAGGCAGCAAAGGGGCAAAAATGAATCCTACAAGTTTGCACTGTCAGGGCTGTTCCCTCTTCAAACACTGACAGCTGTTTTTTACAGGCTGGCCATTGCCAGCTGCACTGTCTAGATGTATACTAGGTGTAATATATCATTTGGCTTATGTAATGTATCAGCCTGGAGCACAGGCAATGGCATCTCCCAGCCACAATTTGACAGCCCAGGGCAGCATCTGCTCCAATCCCATCTCCTGCTGCTCCATGCACAGCCCAGCTCCCACGAGGACGGCCTGGGGAAGCCACCAAACTCACTTGGTAGGTGAGACCACCTCAAAGCAGAACCTCCTCTCTATGTCCTCACAGGGCTTGACAGTGCAGAGCCGCAGGTCCTCCACCACCACCGTGAGCACATCCTGGAAGGGGGAGAACGGGGGCCTTGAGGGCTCCTGAATCTGTGTCACAGCTCAGAAAACTCCCTCCCAAACCCTGCTGTTGGCACACAGAGGGCAGAGCCAGCCCACCCCAGCTCTCCAGGGCAATGGGAAGGGGTTGTATGGAATTAAGGCACAGGGCAACACGCACGTGACATGGTGGGTTTGCTGGGGACCTCACCAACTTCCTCAGCTGAACAGGAATACTTAATCTAAATAAACATTTGTTTAACAAACACCATCTGCTGACACTTCACCCTCAGAACAGCCTAAGCTTGGAGCACAGTAATGGGCTTGCTGTCCCTCTGATCCAAATCCCCTCCCTGCTCCTTCCACCCCGCTCCCCACCACGGTGCAGGAGTCCCCAGCAAAGCAAGGACACCAGAGCAGTTGGTTAATCCTCTGGTGTCATCTGGGGCAGCCTCACTGACCTTTAGCTTTTTCTGGTACACCAGCTGGCTGTTCTGGATGGAGAACCACCTCCTGAGGGAAGACAGACAGAGAGGCATCAGGACAGGCAAACAGCAGAGCTGCAGACAGGCAGAGCAGCATCTTTCCATTTATATCTCTATTTAAATCTTTAGCAACCTGATCACCTTCATGGAGGGCAAAGGAAGCCATGACCACCACTGAGTTTTCAGGAAGAAGGTACTGGAACACCTGAGCAGAAAGAGTCCGAGGGTTGCAGCAGGGGGTTACTGAGAGCATGTATTACATACCCTGCTGGCAAAGGAATGAAGGGGAAAACGGGATGAGAACAGGATTGCCTTTCTTTTGTCACGGCTGAAATATTAAGGTGATGAAAGAGAACAAAAGGACTTGACATGTCTGTGGAGAAATGGGAAAATACAGGTAATGGAGGCCACCCCATCCATCTGGGAGCCCACTTGGATGAGCTGAGCTGGCTCAGCATCACTCTGAGCTGCTGTGACAGCTGCAGGCTCTGCTCAGCTCCTCAGTGTGAGCCTCGTGGGTCCATTCCAGCTCAGGATATTCTGTGATTCCACGAGGATTTGGCTGCTCCCTCCCCGCTCCCGTGAGGGGGAGGCTCTGAGCTCAGCGAGGAGGTGATGAGTGGGCTCCAGGAGCTGGGAATAGCTGAGCTGTGGGCAGAAGTGGCTGAGGGTGGGTGGGATTGAAGAGATGGATATAGCTGTGGGGAGGCTGCTGCCTCTGTGTGACTGGGCTGTAGGAGGGTGCCTGGGATTTGGGGGCATGGAAAGCCCTTGATGTTACTTCAGACATCAGGAAAAACAAAGTTCCAGAGGGGCTTTTTCCCTCCAGGGTCCGTGCCCTTTGAGGTGACCCATGAATTCACAGCCAGGGGAGCTGCAAGGAGAAGGGAGTTGCCTGGAATTGTTCCTCTCCATCCCAAAAGCCAAGCACAGGTCTTGGCATTAACCTGACAGGCTTTGGAACGACCTCCTGCTGCCCAGAAACACGTGGGGTCAGTGAGAGCAGCCACACTGGGGATCAAGGCTGGACTTTGCTCAGGAAACACCAAGCAGGGAATCCTAAAAAGGTGATAAAAATTCAGCTAAGACACCTTCCCAGGGCACTGAACTCGAACACTGCTGCAGTGGTTCCTCCAAGTGCCAACTTAGTCCTTGACTGTCGGGGGTACCAGAGAGCCTGAGGGCTAAGAAATGACACTAAATTTGTCTGGAATCTCCTCAGCACTCAGGGAAGCTTCAAAGAGAAGGAGCTGCTTATCTAACCAATTCAGAAATCTTTAATAATTCCAGGGCTTTTTTTTTCCCATGCAAGTACAGGCAGTTTCTGTGCATCCCACAAACTGTTCACTGAAGCATTTACTGCTTATTTATTCCAAAGCCTAACAGCAGCACATTCCAGTGTCCTCTGCATGTATCCCACAGCCAAGGAAAAGATCTCTTAATATTCTATCATTTCCCTGTTATGTGAGGGGAGGAAATGTAGGTCAGACCAGCATTGATCTCATGCATTAGAAACCCACTTGGAAGGGCTGGAATCCTTTTGTACAACGGTCTGTGAAACCCACTGGCTGTCTCAAGGGAAACTAAACACAGAAATATCGAGCAGGGGCAGAACATGAAACCTTTCCTTCCACTTTCCAAGGTCTCTGGCAGCTGCAGAGGCTCCTGGCTGGTGCAGGAGGCAGATGAGCCAGGCATTCCCAGTGAGCTATCAGATGAAATATGGATAAATTATTAAGAGCAGGGTCAGGGCACTGAAAGCCACTTCTCAAGCTCCTGGCAGCACAGCTGATATTTCCACTCTCACATATGTCCCTGTCCCAAAAGAGGCAGGTTTGACACTCCTGGCACGTCCTGCTGTGTTATGGTGTGATCTCTTAATTGTTAAAAAATGGGCAGCTCTCCCAGGGCAAGGCTTGAGCTGCACTGTGCCCTCTCCTCCCTGAAAGGAGCCTCGTCCTCCTCCCATTGTGGAAGGCACTAAAGCTGCAGAAACTCTCAAACAAACCTCACTTGAACTATTTTAACTACTCAGCTTTTAACTACTTGGCTTAGAATCCTTGCAGTGATGGCAAGCAGTCAGTAAGAGCTCACTAAAAGGGAGGTGTGTTCCTCTGCAGAGTCTCAGCCCAAACATCAAATGGAATATGGGTTCTTGCTCACCTATTCCATGTTTTGAAAGCATTGCTGGCTCTCTTGAAGAGGTAACCTTCCATCACCACTCCATTTGGGGCATCCACATTGAACTCCACCTTCGAGTCATCGTAGGAGAAGTCCTGCAAACAGAGAGAGCCTGAGCCTCTGGCCTGGCTGCATTTCCAGGGCCATCTGGATCATCTCTAGGTGCAGATGAGCCTGATCAAACCCTCAGGAAGAGAAACACATCTGTCAGAAGCCTGAGGTTCAGGCAGAGCTGCCTGTCACACCCCATCCTCTGTCTCAGTGGGCTGCAGCCATGGAGAGCAGTCAGGAATCATCCCCATTCCAGTAAGTTTATCTGTCCCTGCTGTTTGCAGGAAGGCACTGGACACGCTGTGTTTCCCTCCTCTGGCAGCTGAGGGCTAAAAACTCCCAACATTTGGGTCAGTCTGCAGTGGGAAATAAAGCAGGAGGTGATTTTCACTGGCCACGTGAGGCAGCAAAGCTGCTGCCACCCCCCTCCATGCTGCAAAGGGCCAGGGAGAGAACAAACCCCAACCTTTTCACACAAGGAAAAACGTGCTGATTCCTGGAGGGGTAGAGTTATCAATCCCATGCTCATTAGCTATCCTCAGATGCCATCTCCAGTCTGCGCCCGCTCCCTGCTCTGTGCCGTGCTACCAGTCAGAGCTGATTTGTCAGCTTGGCACTGATTCACCAGGGAGATCTCATGGCTTCTGACAGCTGACACAGAGCAGAGGGAATAGCAGCTGCTCTCCAGAACGTGGGATCTGCCTCCCTGGGCAATGGGCTGCCTCCTTCCCAGGAGAAACTGGGTCATGGAGCAGCGACAGCTTCCCCCCTAACCTGGGGATCCGAGGCACGTCCCCTCCTTGCTCACTGATTGCACTCTAATCACCCATCCCACCCACACCTCCCCTCTCTCCAGAGCAAATATTTCCCCCTGCACACCTCGGTTCAAAGCCACAGCAGTGAAAGCAGCCCCATCAGAAGCCTTTCCTGGCTCAGCAGACCCTGCTGGTGCCGTGTTGCCAGGCAACATGCACTTGGCTCTCATTAAGATGAGTTATTTCCATGCTCGGAGATGCAAACGTGCCTGGGAGGTGTCAGGATAGGAATAACACTGATCCAGAAGGAGGAGATACAATGGGACAGGCCACAGTGACTCCTTGGAAAGACAGCAGGATGCCCAATTAGACACTGCTGCAAGGCACCCAATTAAGAGGGCTCTGCTCAGCCCCAGATTTTCTTGCCCTGAGAGGGTGAATCCCACAGGGCTCCTCTCCTGCAGATGCCTTTCATGTCCATGTTGCAAACAAAGGCTGGGGGGAATTTTCCTGCAACTCGTAGATGTTCCAACGTGTGACTTTTGCACAGCTGCTCCAGAGTGACAATTCTGTATATTTGATGGGAATCTGCACTGATTTATAGTAAGTAATGCAACCATCCGAAAACCTGGAGCTTGCTGAAGAGTGCACAGCAAGTGTAGGGCAAAATGCTTCCAAAACCAGCTTAAAAGTGACCACTTAGCTGTGCCTCACCTTGTGGAATTGGGGGGAAAAAAAAATATCAGGGGGAGGGTCTAAACCTGACTAATCTCCTGACTTCTTCAGCTGCCCTTATCAAGCAGAGTGATGGCAAGGAGGATCTGCTGCTGGGGGAGTGCAGGAGGAACAGATGGGCCACCCACGTCACTGGGGTAAATCCACTGAAAAGCAGTGGAGTCAAGCCAGGTGGGAATTTAACCTCACTTGGGCTGGATTGTAGCACACCTCTACAAATCCAGTGGCTGGAGCTGCACAGCTGAAGGCACATAGAGCTGTTCCCTGCCTTTGAAGGGACCAAGCCCAGTTTCTGAAGATCACACCCAAACCCCACCAAGGGCACACACAGCTGACATGACTCAACCGAGGTCCCCGGGGCCAAATTCTGCTCATTTTTCTGCTGCTGTGAGTCCTGAGCAACCCCAGTGCTGCCAACAGCACTCCTGAAGGGCAGCTGAGGGCAGAACAGTCACCAGAGCTGGAAGCTGGATTTGTAAAGCAGGTCCAAATCAAGGGAGAGATCTGAGGGAGAAGGACCAGCCTGCCCATCACCCCCAGGCACGAGGCACTCGGAGCCTCAGGGCCTCTTTGTTCCATCCCATTGCTCAAAACTCTTTGCTACAGAGTCCTTGGGAGTGTTGAAAGACAAATGAAGGGAAGGCAGAGGGTGGGGAAAATCCAGAATTTATGCCCCTGATCAATGTAATTTCTCCTTTCTCAGCCAGGCAAAGGCCAAAAGGGACAGAAACGGCTCAGAAAGGCAAACCCAAGGCAAGTGCACCTGTGAAACCTCCAGCACACCAGAGGGAGCCTAAAATATGGCTTGACCCATGGATTCCTACACCCAGTAGGCTTCTGCTGCAGCCCATCCAGGGGAATTTCTTACCACAGGCATTGGAAAAGAGGACAGATCTCTGGAAAAGGGAGTTACAAGAACATCTGTTGAGCTCTGACTCCAGGTCAGAGCCAGCTTAGACTCTGCCTGAGGAGATCATCCTGGTGAAGGTGCTGAAAACACCGTGGGGGATGCACAGATGTGTGACAAGCAATCCCTGCCCTTCATAATGTGCCCCTGGATCTGTTCCCTTCACTGGCACAAAGAGATTTTGATCCTTGTTAGTTCTGGGCAATCAGTGGAAGGGTCTCCTGGCTGTGACACTGCCCAGCCCAGCATCAGCTCTGCCTCCAGTCTCTGTGGATGCAGTGGATGGGCACATCTCATCCCTTCTCTTGTCCTCCTCCTCTTCCTTCTCCTCCAGGTTTTAATGTGTGATTTTAACAGCCAACCTTCTGCTGAATTCCTCCCCTCACTGACACGTGCACAGGGAGCAGGCAAGTCTGCCCTAAATGAGTCTGGACTGATTTATTAAGCCTGCATTTAGCACCTCACTGTCTCTGCAACGTGAACAAACTGCTTGACACAGTCAAAGGCTTCTCCAGCAGCATGTGCAGTGAGGATCAGAACAGCAGGGACACGTTGGATCACGCTCTGCTACAAGAAATCGGACGTCTTCCAAAATAAGACACCAGATCTCTGCTGTCATCTGCTTCCCTTTCCCTCCCAGGAAATCACAGCAACCCCTCTCACTGCCCCCTCCTCGGCCCTGTCACTCCCAGTTCACCCACGAGGCTGCCTGGGAACTGATATTCTTTTTGAGAGGACACCACAATGGTTTCCATGGGAGCTGCTGGAGCAAGGGTGAAGTAACACACATTCCAAGAGACACGTCCAGAGTGGGGGGGAAGAGGAAGGACATTAAAATGTGGATGCTTTCAAACCAGCAAATGGAAATTATAAACCCGGCAGAGCCACAGACAGACCCAGGAAAGGATAAAAAAGAAAAGAGGGGAGGAAAAAAGAAAGAGAAAACCTAATTTGAAGGTGGCCTCATGGCCCACCCAGGGACTCCCCAGTCCAGCTCCACTGCTTCCTCCAATTCCTCCTCAGAAATGAGCATTTCATGCAGAAAAAATGGCTGATTAAATTAAATAGCCCTCCAGCATCAGTGAACAGATTTAATATGAGGAGGGAAGCTGCCCCTCAACAGCCTGGAATCTTTGGGGGATGGAATCTTCTAAGGAAGGAGCCCTGAATAAGAGCAATCCCACTGAAAGAACACTAACAGGTTCATTCCTATCCCAAAAAGCACAACCTCTGGCTGAAAACAGACAGAACCTTCTTTTTTCTAAAATACCAAGGCTTCCTTAAAGGTCTTTAAAATAAATACAATCACTGTGGCCACAGCTCTGCCTGAAAAGTCACAGCATTATTCCCTCAGTTCTCAGTTCAGCACGGAAATAACACCCCTTTTTCTACAGTATTTTGATTTTCTCTGATAGAAAACACTATCAAACCTAAGCAAGCATGAGCAGGGACTCCTGTCAGTTCTTAGATACTCAAAGAAATGTTTCTTACTGCCAAACCCCCATATTATTTTCTTTTCAATCAATACCATTTCAGATAAGCAACACCACATGCAATGCACGCTTTCCCTCTTAGGAGACAAAGGCTTTTATCCAAAAGTGCCTTCTCTTGGGCATCCAGTGATGCTCAATATTCCCAATAACACGGGGCACGTTAACAGCATCCATGCACTGAACACAACTCCTGGAGGCCAGCTGGAAATTGTGCCTAGTTTGGCTGTTTGATTGCAAAGAAAACCCAATTCAGAGGAGCATTCCTGTTCCCTAAAGATGCACACACCCCCCTCCACACACACACACCGGTGCCTGCACTTGCTGCTCTCTCCTGGTGCCTGTTTGGATCTCAAGCTTTGCTCTCTCTGGCTCTTTCCACCTCTCTGTCTGTGCCAGGTCCAACCCCAGCCCCTCGGAGCAGATGGAATTTGGAAGAGGGCTCCCCCCCCACCTCCGATCCCGTTCTGCTCAGGCAGCTTTTCACCCATTCCGGCCAAATCCCGATGGCAGAGCTTTTGTTTCTGGAGTTTCCCAGTGCCAAATGTTCTCCCTGCCAGCAGATGATGCCCACAGACCCGTGCCCTGCCCCGGAGCCCTCTCCCAGCCCACACACAGGACCCACAAATTCACAGCAGGTTTGGGGTCGCACCGGCCAGCGAGGTCCTACAGGCACAATTCCCATGGGAAAAGGGAGCCCTAAACGTGCTCCCCCAAGCCCAGCCACCCCTGCAGGAGTTGTCCTTACCAGGAGGTACTCGAGCCTGCCGAAAATCTTCATGCTGCAGCTGCCAGGGAGGCTCTGCCGCTCCCGCCCGCACAGCTGAGCTCCGTGTCCTCCCTCCCTCTAGAGCAGCATCTCTGCTCAGCACCGGGGGCTGGCAGGGAAGGAGGGATTTCTTTCACAGCCCCTTCTCCTTTACCCCTCCTCCTCTTTATTTCCTTTTTTTTTTTTTTTTGGGAAGCTCCAAGCTCTGCCTTCGGCCCCTGTGGGAGCGAGAGGGGCTGGAAGGCTGCTGGCCCCTGGGGACCACCTGCTGCCCCCCCTGCCCGAGCCTCCTATTCAGGGGCAATCAGCTTAGAGCAGGGGCTAATTACCATACAGCTGGCAGGAGAAGCCAGGCAGAGCACAGAGCCCAGCTGACAGCAGGATGCTCACCCAGTGCCTCCCTGACCTTAACAGAGCCAGGCTTGTCTGCCTGGCCCGGGATCTGCTTCCCGGAGCTCCTGGAGCAGGGCCACCCCTCGGCCAGTCAGCCCAGCCATGGGGATCAGGGGGCTGAGGTGCCAGATGGCCCCTGGTTTGTTATCCACCAGCAGGGCTAAATGAGGCAGAGAGCTCTGCCTTGGCACTCCACACAGGCAACACAACACACTTTGCTTCCCAAACTGCTCCGGGCTGGGAAGAGCTGTGAGGCTGGAAAGGGGCTTTTATACAGCCCCATGTTCTTGGAATCACAGGATTGTTAAAGCTGGGAAAAAAAGTCCTCTAAAAATCATCAAGCCCAACTCATAAGCCAACACAGTTTTCACCAGCAAACCACGTCCCCAGGTGCCACATCCACACGGTTCTGAGCACTCCCAGTGATTCTGCCCCTGTTCCAATGCCTGACCACCTTTCAGTGGAGAAATATTCCCTAATATCCAGTCTAACATCTCCCACTCTCAGAGCCCAGCCTCTCAGCTTTGGTGCAGTGGAAGGATTCGGGAAGGTCTGTGAGGAAGGACTGGTTCAAATATCACCCTTTCTCCACTCATTTCCCACTGTGAAAAATTCCCAGGTCTGTGTTTTCCAGATTACCTAAATTACAGCAGCAAACCAAACAGTCGAGGTTTGTGATGAGCTTTTCTTTCCCAGCAGATTCCTTTTAATTAAAACAATAATGAAACAAAATGCCACAGACCATTTCCTTATGAACTTGGCTCTCAGAAGGCTTCCCTCACACCTCACAAAGCTGCCCAAGGACAATTCCCTGCCTTCGGCACCTGCACAGCTCCCACCTCCCAAAATCACTCCAAAATGTATTATTTAACCCAAATTTCCTGGGTTAAAGGAAGTCTGCCGTGCCTTAGCAGGCAGCACTGGTGAGGAAAACATGATATTTGTGCCACCACTCTAATCAAGCACGACTAAATCTCCTCATTTTTCAAGGGACCAGAGGGTTTTGTGGGCTCAGCAGGAAGGTATATATTCAATTAAATGCTGTGGGGAATTGGGGACATCACAATTGCTCCATCACAAAGGGAGGAGCAGCACTGACTCGGAGCAGCTGCAGAGCAGCTCATAACAGTCCCAGGCAGGAAGCTTGAAATCCTAAATTGCAGTGAGGATGCTCAGCCCTGTGCCTGTGTGTCCTGAGGAGCTGCTCACCCTCCCTCCTGGATCCTGAGCTCTGCTGCTCTCCCTGCTGGTCCAGCCAGCAAAGCCCCGGGAAGAGATTGCAGAGAGAGGCACTGGAGAGATTTTCCACGTCCCCCTGGATGAAGTCATCACTCCAGCAGAGTCCCAGGGGGCCTGAGGGTTCACAAATGGACTCATTCCCTCCCCCTCAGAACACTTAAGCAGAGGCAGCACACGGCCAGGCCATTCCCAGGGCACGTCACTCATCAGCTTTCAAAGCTGGTTACGGTCCCATTTCACGGGTTATGACATCTCTGAGGCAGAGGGAGAGCATTAGAGAGGAAGCAGCAGCCACTTCACATTCCTCCTGTGCAGAAGTATCGATCCACACACGCTCTCCTCCCACCAGAGCCATCACACAGGCACCAAACAGGCGTCCAGGGGCCAGCCAGGGACTGCTGCCACTGCAGCCCTGAGTCACAGCTGAGCATCACAGGCAACCAAAACCTTCTTCTAGCACAGGGCTGGAAACCAATTTGGTGAGGGTGAAACCCGACTCACTTTAAAACTGGGCTTTAAAATTACATTTACAGCTCAGGTGATGCCGTGCCAAGGCTTCTTTGTGTTGCTTTCGAAGGCAGAGCAGCAAACTCTGAGAAATAAAGATGCCAGAAGAAGGAAATGCATGTGGGTACTCACCTGCAGGAGGGTCTGCAGGGCCAGGTCAGCAGTCCAGGGAGAAAGAGAAGGAAAAGAAAAATAAGTAATTAGCTGATATTTCTGCAAGCCTCGGATTTTAGAATCATTCCCAGGTCTGGAAAATCAGAGCCCATGTTAACTAAAGATGCCTCCTTGCTGAAAGGTCAGGCTTGTTTGATAATGAATCCCATTATCCTGCCAGTTTGTGGTGGTTCCTCCCAAATCCAGCAGGGGAGAAGTCACACACAGCGGGTCAGCTCGCTCAGCCAGGGCAGCTCCACCACTGGGGTCCCCAGGAACCTTCCCAAAATCCTGCTGCTCCAGCCTGGGAGCAGCATGTCATGATGTCCTGGGAGCCAAGCAGGAGTCAGCTGAGAGCAGAGAGAAGGTCTCTGCAGCTCCCTCCTCCTCTCCCTCCATGACACCCCTGCAGTGCAGAGCGAGCTCCCTGTGCCTGAAGAAAAGGCCCTGCAGCGAGTCCTGCCTGTGGGTACCACAGGAGCATCCACCCCTCCATCTGCTGGGTGATTTCACAGGGACTCTGCCCATCTGGGCGGGTTGGGCACCTCGGGAATGCTGCCACAGTGCTGCCTCCCCACGGGCAAGGCATGGGGAGGTGGCAGAGACACAGCAGCCCTGGCTGGAGATCACACAGGGAAGGATGTGAGGCTGGAGGAGAGGGAAAGAAAGGGTGGGATAAAATGCTCTCATCTCTCCCCAGAAAGCAGCTCTGCCCTGCAGTCCTTTCCACAGGCGATTCCAAAGCGCCACATCCACTCCTTTACTCACGGAGCAATGTTTAAAGAACTTTTAAAGAACGACTCCCACGCCCTCGGCAGCAAAGAGGGAGATGAAACGAGCAGGAAGGTTTGCTCAGAGGCACAGCAGGTCAGGGGCAGAGCTGGGGAAAGCCCCCTGGTGCCCTGGCCTGGGGGGTCCTGCCTGTGCCCCTCTGCCTTCCAGACTCGGATGAGTCAGTGGCTGAACATCCTGCACTTGATCCCAGCATCCACAGGGTGGATCTCCAGTCTCCAGGCTGGGAAGGTCTAACCCAGCAGGGCCCCTCCCCAGCTGGCAGCTCCCACTGTGATGCAGATGGACACAAGTGCTGCTGGCACCCCAGGACTCACCCTTTGCTGGATCAGGGCGTGTTTGTGCTCCATCTCCCTCTTCTCCACGGCAGAATCAATCACCAGCTGGTCCAGCTGAAGGCAGGGAGAAGGACAGCAGGTGGAAGAGTCAGGAAGGAGGTTTATGAGCCATCGTCCTTCTCTGGGATTACACCAGCCCTTCCTAACATCCCAAGCCCCCACAAGGAGGGGACAGGCTGTGGCTGGGTGTGCACTGAGGAACCACAGCCCTTGGCTGCCACCCCACAAAGTGTCACCCCATCCAGCCTCCACCAGGCTTGATGCTCCAGCCACTCCCCTGGTGACCAAGTGTGTGGACAGGGAAAAGGGATGTGCTTTCACCCCCTCAGACAGACTGAGCCACCACCCTGCCTGTCCCCTCACCTCTGTGGCCAGTTTCTTCATGTAGGGATCCAGCTCGTGGAGCAGACTGTAGCCCTGCTGGAAGAAGGTGTACTGGGCGTGCATGAAGGACAACATCTGGGGAGGGAACAACAGCGGGGTCAGAACAGGTTCTGGGACAAAATGAAAAGCCCTAATCCCTTATTACCCACCAAACTGGGTCTGACTTTCCCTTTCCAAAGCAATCCTTAGATTAGGTGCCTCTCCCTCTCCTCCTTCCTTCCTCTCCCAATTCCTTCCACCTGCTGTGAGCACAGAGCAGAAAAGCAACCTCCTGCACCCCTGAAAATCCCCTCAGTGCTGGCCTGGGGAGGACCCTGCTGGCCCTCCAGCTGCCCTCTGTTGCCATACCTGCAGCCCCCAGAGCAGTCCCAACAGTATCTCCGGGGCAGGCAGCCGGTAAATGGGGCCATGCAACCTGAAATGGGAGAGGGCTGCCTTGCATGGGCTCACTGAGAGCAGCCCCAGGAAACACAGGGAGCCCTTACCGCGTCCAGGATCTCAAACTTCTTCTTGGCCTGCAGCACGTTGATCTGGGGAGGAACCAGGACACAAATCTCAGCACCAGCCTGGCTTGGAGAGCTCTGAACAGCCTGCTGTGACAACCCCCCAACAGCACCCACAGAGTAGCCCTGCACAGTTCCAGAAGGTGAAGTTTCTGTAAAGACAGTTCTGGGCAGTTCCAGGTGGAATAAAAATGCCTTTTGCTGCTCTGGGCTGCTACAAGGTCACTGGGGGATGGATGTCTGTCCACAGGCTGGAACAAACAGTGACCCCAGGGTGACATTTGGTGTCAAGTGAAGGAAGTGTTCAATTTATCAGGTCACCGATAAACTGATAAATCAGGTCACTGGAAATTTCTTCGAGCAGGTACCACTTGACAGATATAAAAGAATAAAATAACTCTCCTCATTATAACCTTAATTAAACACCAAAGGACACCTGGACAAGCTGCACATTTCAAAACTGATGGGTTTAAGGTGGTACCTCGAAGGGGACCAAGAGAGAAACCTCCCCAGAGGTGGATCAGCACAATCAAGGAATTCTCCCTCTTTGCCAGCGGGAGAAATGGAGGGAGCTTATTATGGTGTGACCTTGCCAGGAAATGAAGGTGCATTCATGGCTGCATCCAAGATATAAAAAAAACCTGCAGTGCTAAAGCACCAACAATATGCAGGATTTATACTTTGAGGGGGAAAGCACTGCCTGATGTGACACCAGAGACTGTCCCCTGGTCAGCCAGAACCGTCAGCAGATGGGTCTTTGCTGATGCTGCAGGAGTGACAGCTCGTGGGGACACACAGGCAGCACTGAATTTCTCTGCTTAATCCACCCACTGCCTGAGAGCACAGACCTGCCAGGAAAGCTGTGAATGATTCAAAGACAAACCCTTGACCGCTGTGGGAGGGGGAGTGAGCGTTCCTGCTTGGAACGGAAAATTCAGCCTAAGCCACTTTATTTCTCTCACTGAAAAATAAAAGTAATGTTTTCCTTCTCAGGTACATCAGAGCACTTTTAGAGGAAGGGAAGCACGTCCTAAGGACTCCCTGCCTCAGGGGGCAGAGGGCAACAGGGATTGGCAATGCAGTGACCTGTTGAAGGCAGTGGTAAAACCTCACTTTATCTCTTGTTCTGCACTGGGAGGCCCAGTGGGAACTGGGAGGTGGTGGGTGAGGCACTGACACCAACCTGCAACACGTAGTCCAGGGCCAGGTGCCTGAAACACTTCCTGGTGATGGTCAAGGTGCCCGTGGCCTCCTCCACCTCGTGGGGTTTGTGCCGGGGGGCCTGGGCGTTCTTCACCAGGGAGATCTCCATGTCCTCCCGCACCTTGTCAAACTGCTTCTTGGTCTCCTTGAACTTCCTGACGTCACTGGGACACACAGGAGAAGAGGTGGGGAGAAATCACTGTCACAAAGCAGCCAGAGCAGCCCTGACACCAGAGCACGGACAGGTGAAGCCAGGCACACTGTGATCACCCCAAGCTGCTGCTTCAGATGCCACTGGGATTCCAAACTACCCCTCCAAGCACCACCATGTCCAGCTTAAATCAAGCCTTTCTTCAGAGGCAGCTGGTAAGGAAACTCAAGGATCTTTTCCAACCAGCTCTAACAGCAGCATCACTGCAGCCTCAAGATTTAGCTCATAAACCCCTCCTGCTCAGCAAGATCTGTGGTTTGGGAAGGTGATTAAAGGGCATTTGGCTGCTGACACCAGGCCAGGGCAAGCTGACCCTCCTGTGTGACCCCATAAATAAACCAGGCAAGGACCAGTGAGGCTTGGGGACAGGGGAGAGCAGGCAGAGGGCAAGCATTGCCCTCCCATGTCTGAATCACCAGGCAGGGCACAGCTCCCATTGTTGCTTTGTTCCCAGCATCAGCCAGGAAGCTGCAGATTGCTCCTAAAAATGCTCCCAAGCCTGGGGTTTATTTTCCACCCGGGGCAGGAGCACTGCAAATGTCAAAGCTCCAGGGGTTGAGCAGCACAGAGGAATGAGTTGGAAAGACAGTGAAGGGACGACAGACCCAAACCCAAGGTGAAAATCCCCCCTTCCCACTGCCAGCCTTAAGCAGATTAAATCTGAGCTCATCAGAGAAATGATCATGAAGATCAGTGGGGGCAGGGGGAGCGCTGGGCAAGAAGATGGGGCTGAGGAATGGGGTGGGGGCAGCCAGGGACCCCCTCCCTCCATCAGGGCACCCAGCTGCTGAGGGATTCAGCCCGTTCCCATGGCAACCAGCTCCTGCTTAGTGGAGACCTCAGCTGCCTCTCTGACCTATATATTCGGCTGCCGTGGGATCCCTGCACCAGGGACCTGCCCTGGGGAAAAGAGGCACTCAGGAAATGTGGGAATGCAGAGCAGGGACAGCCTTGACCCCAGGGACACGCTGCCCCCATCCAATTAACTCGCTGGGCCCAGTTCTGCAGCGCCCCGGGAGCGAAGAGCCTTAATGGGCAACGCTCTGCTCACAGCAGGGCACTGCAAAGCTGCTTTCCGTCAGCAAATCGCTCTCAAGTGGTGGACAAGCTCCAGGCTGAGGGCACAGGGATGGTCAGGGATGCTCCCTGCACACACAGAAGGGCTCCCACATCTGTCACCTCCCAGTGAGATGCTCGGGTTACTCCCCAGGGCACGTGCAATGGAAGTTCGGGAAGGTGAAGGCTGAACAGACAAGACAAGCACTCACTCTTTCACAAAATTGTGCAGCTGCTGCCGGACTGACCTCTGGGCCTGGTCAAACAGGATCTGGAAGACAGGAAGGGAAAGAAATTCAAATGTTTTGCAACAGGGAAACATCGAAGAGTCAGAAAATCCATAACCACTCTTGAAGAGCTTCGGTGTGAGGGACTCAGCATCACCCCAGGGCTCAGTGGTGCCCATTTCTTGCTGCCTGTCACAATGGATAACCTCTTTTTCCCCAGCTGCAGCACTCCCTTAGCCCTGCAGAATTCCACAGAGAGACCTATGCCCCTGACATACTCCCATGAGAAGAGCTGGTGCTCTTCCAGATGAAGAGTTTTTAGGAGCAATTGCCTTTATATCCCTCTTCTGAACTATCCTGAGTCTCGAATTCCTCGTTTTGCCAGAGGAGGGCACTGGTACCTCAGCTCTACATCCAGGGAAGGAGACAGAACAACCAGGAACATCCCAGCAGCCCCACGCTGGGTGAGAGGTCCAAGTACACGGTGAAAACAGAGATTTGGTTCTTGCAAATCTTTTAAATTTTACTCTCCTTTACAAAATAAATTATCCCTACACCCTCTGCCCATCTTTGTCCCTCACTGCCCCTCCTCAGCCAGGCAGGGGAGAAAACAAGATGGAAAAGCTCACGGAGCGAGACAAGTACAGGGAGATCAACCAGCAGCTGCCATCACAGGGCAAACACACTCGACTTGGGGAAATATTACATTGATTGCCAAGTAAAAACAGACACTGCACAGGTGCAGAGCTCCAAAGGGAAGCCAAACCACCCTGAGCAGGCACAGCAGCAGTGGCTGCAGAGCCTCACCACCTTCATCAGGGGCTTTGCTGCAGCCAAGCACGAGCCCAGGAACATGCCAGGACTGGCTGAGCCTAAACAGCCTCTAAATATGAACAGATGCAAAGCAAGGGGGAAAGAAAGAAAACCCCAAAGACCACCCAGCTTTGTGTTCTTACCCATGTAAATTATTTACTGCTCTTGGCATCTGCTCCCTCTCTCCATCAGCGCTCCAGGAGGCACTGGCCTGGCCTGCAGCTCTTCCCATGGAGCTGCTTCCCCGAGTGATTTTGGGCTTCCCTCCGCTCAGGATGCCATCCAGGGATGGGAAAGCAGCAAGAAACCATCTGGTTCCCACCTGCACCTACACCTGGAGAGCTTCCAGCATTGGTTTCTGCCAGGGGGACACATTTGCTTCGGATCAGGGAAAGGAAGGGACACGATTATGTCGTACTTAGGACTGCAGACAAGTGCCCTGGGATATTCCAGGGAATAAAAGTCAAACCACGCAGCTAAGGGTGAGGAACAGCTTGAGAAACAGCAAATCCAGGCTCCCCAAACTCTTGATGTGGCGGGACCAGCGTGAGTGAAGTCACAGAAACACACGTGTGATGACAGCGTGTCCCACACCGGGCACTGCTACACCCACCTCGCCACTCCTGCCTGGAAAAATCAGCTCCAAGCTGGTGCCTGGAAAGGCTCTGAGCACTGCTGTGTGTGGCTGGGAAAAGGACACACACTTGGAACAGCACAGCAAAGCATTTGCAGGGGGACAGAAGCTCCCTCGAACGATCCCAGCAGGATGCTCCAGGTCTGTGGGCAATGCTCTTCTCCTGCCACAGCAAGGGGCTTGTTCTCCCACTGCCTCGGGAGGAGAATTCACTCAGGGTTCAGCCCAAGCCTCAAAATCAGAGCTCACAAAGCTGCTCCTTCCTGAAGCTGTTTAACTGAGAGGGAGCTGAACTCGTGGGGATCACAGAAGCAGCACAGGGACATTGCTGTGTGCGTTTTTAATTGAAATATCTTGGTACCAGGATGGGAAAACTGCACAGAAAAGGAAGTCAGACCATATATATATGTATATATTTATCCATCTCCTGCTCTGTCACTACTCTTCTCCCCTGCTCCTGAGCCCCCACACCCCTGTGATGGGATTCATCCAGTGAGAGGCTGGAGCAGGGATTGCCAAGTGGTTTCTGAGGGAATCCCAGGCAATGATCATGCCTTTCCTGCAGGCAGCATCTCTGCTGAGAAGCATCCTGATACCTGGATCACTTTGATTGCTCCAGCATTAATTTTGCCAGGCAGGATCACCAGAGGAACATTTTCAAGTGGGTCCCCCATTCAATTTTCAGCACAGAATAAAGAGAGTTTCAAGAGCTGGAGTTTCAAACGTATTTAAATAAAATTAAAAAAAAAAAAATCAAACCTTGGCTTTTTTTCCTTTCCCAGGCATAACTTGGAACAAATCATTTGTTTTAAGATTTTCCAGACCAAATATCACCCCACCCTCTGTCTTTGCTTGCACAGAGACAGGAGAGGTCCAGCCCATGACTCACACACATCTGTGAGGAGGGTCGGGGTGGAACAGGGAATGAACAGGGAATGAACATCCCTCTCACCCAGCAGCCCCAAGATCCTACATTTCCCTTCCCCACCACGGGCTTCTGAGGCAACAGGATAACCCTAAATCCGTGTTTTAGGAATTTCAGGTGCCCAAGAAACGAAAGCAGGCCCAGCAGCCCAGGATGTTGTTCTTGGAACTGGAGGCTATAATTGGGATAGGAGACATCAGAGATCCAAAGGGATGTTCCCTGTGGAGCTTGCAGGAGGAGGGGAGATCCCAGCAGGCTCCAAAGCAAAGCAGGAGCCTAAAAGAAGAAGTGGGATTGCCTGCCTGGCTGTGAACAGCTGGAACAGAGCTTGGAAATAGGACGACATCCCAGCTGCACGTGGGAACAGTGCCTGAGGAGAGACTGAGGGCAACAAAACCCCACTGGTGGTGGGAATTTCTCAGGAGCAGGAGCTGAGGGATGACAGGGCAGGGCAGGGGTCTCACCACCCTGGGATCACAGGGCTGTGGGGATGACACCGGTCTGAAGCCAGGCTGGGAAGCTGCTCCATGGATCAGGGTCAGGCACCTCCAGGCAGATGCAGGGGGACAAGGCAGAGCCAGCACCAAGCTGGAAAACATCGGTCCTTGGAGCTCAAATGGATGTGGGTGAGGTGGGGTGAGGGTGCAGCCCCAGGGAGAGCTGGGCAGGGCCATCACAGCCTGATGGTGCCCTGAGAGCCCCAGTCTGGCAGGAGATGGGGATCATGAAGGGAATCAGCCCTTCTCCTGCCCCAGCTGAGGAGAGGGAGGGCGTGGAGCTTCCTCTGCAGCTGTGGGACACATGGATGGAGGAGGCTCTCCCCTCCCCACAGTGGCCATGAGTCACATCCCAGCTCTGACCTCCCTCATGGCCAGTCTGGAGACCTCATTCCCCCCAAAAAAAAACTGTCTGGGATCTGGTTTATGCTGCATTTAAACGAGAGCTGGCTGCCTGGTGGCCTGGGAGTGGGAGCCTGACCCTTTTATCTGGAAAACAAGCCCAAACACTACTTCTGTTCTGCATGGTGGGTGCCTGCACAGTCTCACTTCTGACCCAAGGTGAAGCTGAGTCTCTCACAAAGGGCTCAAGAGCTCAAGTGCTTAGGTCAAAGGACAGCTTTTCCTACCCCTTCCCTGTTACTGAAGCTGATTCTCTCCCCTAATTAGAAAACAGACAACCCAAGGAATTCCAGAAACCACCACGAACCGAGTCTTCCTGAAAGGCAGAATTCAGCACCGAGCTGGGTTAACTGCACACCCTGGTGCCAAACTTCAAGGGCAGCAGCTCACTGAAGGGTTTTGGACCGGTGCAATGTCACTGCCCCAGGGCACAGTGGCAGAACCCATGAAGGCAGGAGGTGGCAGAAACATCTCCCCTGTCAGATGGCAGTTCTGCATCCACAAATGCTCCCCACCCCCAACCTTACTTGGTGCACCTGGACCCTTCCCAGGCACCGTCAGGAAGTGCAGGTGGTCCTCCCAAACCCTGTGGAGAGCTTGGAAGCATCTTGGAAGCACTTTCCACTTTGCCTTCCTTCTCCTTCCCCCCTGAACTGCAGCAGTGCCCAGTGACATCTGCCATCTGCCTCCCTGACTCATCACAGCTTGGGTGGCTTTTTCTTCTTGTCAGCAGGAAACGCTTCCCAGCTCACTCAGCAGAGCTAAACCTCCCCTGCAAGCTGCTCCTGCTCCTGCTGGAGGATCCCTGTGACGTGGCCACACTGATTTATGGCAGAGGGGAAAGCTCAGGACTCAGTGAAGCTCAGCCCAGCACTGGTGAGGGCAGTGCTCGTGTTTCATCTCCTGGGGTGGAAAGTAGCTGGTGCTGCTGAAGGTGAACTGAGTCCCACCCCAGCAGCACTTTCACTGGCATCCTCTCCCCTTTCCTTATCTTTCTGATCACTCAGAGAAAGGAAATGTGAGGGAAAGGGAGCTGATGTGTAAATGTGACAGGCTTGAGCTGCAGATCTTGGGATTGCCTTCCAAGGCATGTGCAGGGCTGTTGGGAAAAACTGCCTTTCCCACCTCCTGGCAGAGCCAGGGATTATTGCACCCCCACACACACTCACTGCCTCTGGTCCTTGGGTAAACTGGAGCCTTCTCTTCCCTAGTTCCTGGGAAGTGGATGCTGACAGCTTTGGACTATCTGCTAATCTGGGCAGTGTCAGTGCCACGGGGTGGGCACAGAGCAGAGCCAGCTGTGTTTGCTCAAAAACCCTGTGGAAAGGATCACCCTGCTCTCACAGGTGCTGATCAGCAACATCACTGCACTGAAATTCTGGCTCTAGAACGCCCAGGACTGGGAATCCTTACGCCCTTAAATACCTAATGCCCAACAGAGGATCAGACAGGGAATCACTGGTGGAAAAGCTGAGTACAGCACAGCTCCCTGCTGCTGGGACAGGGAAGGGACAGCCCCCTAGAGCAAAATGCTGCATCCACAGCACAGCCACCAAAAGAAATACGTGCTCAGCACCCTGCCTGGAATGTGGCTGGGGGTGACAGGGCCTGGAATGTGGCTGGGGGTGACAGGGCAGCCAGCAGGACCTTTGGCTTTTCTGCTCCCCAAACATCTGCAGTGCAGGGAGGCCTCAAGAGGTCAGCATTGTATCAGCAGGAAACTCTTTTTTTTCCCAGACACTGCTCTGAACAGAACATCCTTGGAAGAAGTCAATTGTCCAGGACTTTCTAAGACCATTTTCCCTAGAGCTGCAAGGAAAATCAGCCTCCCAGCTGAACAGCTGGGATGTTCCAGAAGCACATCCTCAGGGGCTCCAGGGCAGTGCCACTGCCCAGCCCACTGTCACATCACACACACAGCCAGCTGCAGAAATTCATTCCTTGACCTCTTACTCATCCTCATGACCCACCCTGGTCTGTCTGAGCCCTCTGGTATTCCCTGTGTTCCCTGCAAAGCCATTCCCAGGGAAAACAGGGTCAGGGCAGGTTAACACAACCAGGAGCCCAAATTTCTGAAGCCCCTCACAGGCAGCCCCCCCACTTGCAGAGGGCAGCTCAGCAAGTCCTGGGTCACCACTTCAGGGCCTTCCCAGCCAGCACTGCAGCCAGGAGTTCACTGGGTGTGTTTGGTTGCTTTGGAAATGGCTTTAACTGGCCCCAAATCCAGTTGGTGCAGGCACAGGGCAGTGCCCTCTGCAATCCCTGGAGCCAGCACGAGGGAGGGACGACCACAGTGCTGGAAAAAGTTAAAAATGGACAGAAGGCACGTGGCTGAGAGGACAGAAAAAGGCAGAGGACACTGGCTGCAGCTCTAAATCAGCTCTTGTCATCTGTCCCCTAAGGTGGCTTTGATGTTTACTCCTCCCTGTGCATTAAAAGGTGGGAATTCTCCAGAGCTCAGTGTGTTCATCTTCCACATCCAAGCACTTTTAAGCTTGGATTTGGCTCAGCCTGAATCAGGACATGTCTAGGCCCCATGCTCTGGCAATAAAAGTACAGAACAACTGAGTTTTTTTTTTTTTTGGGGGGGGGATACTTTCCCTTCTTTTTAACTTGTTCCAGTTGTACAGACTGTCCTGGCCACATTCCTGGAGTAAGCACTGACAACTGTTTCCTAGCTGAGCTCCTCAGCCGTGGATGAGCCAACACACACACACACACACAAACAGCACAAGGCACTAAAAATAACCCAGCTGATCGAGCCCCTGTCGGAAAGGGCTGAGGATGCAGCAGTCATTCCAAAGCCATTTCCTGGACAGGGACTCACTCTGCTGCACACCAGGGGAGGAGGATGCTCTCCCGAGGCTGGGAGGGAGGGAGGGTTTAAGCACAATTCCCTGTGCTGGCTTGGAGAGCCCCGAGGGAAGGGTGATCCCACATCAGCCGGGATGTGACAGCTCTGGGAAGGGTCCTTCTGCTGCTTGGCTGGCTGAGGGAGGAGCAGTCCCAGCAGTGTTGGCAGAGAGCAGAGGGCCAGGGGAAGCTGCACAGCTGGTGCAGCAGAGCCTGCAGACACAGCTCTGCAGCCAGAGCTTCCTGGCTGGGGCTGCTTCCTCCGGGCTGGGCTGCTCCACTCACTCATCCAGCTGTGCTGTGACCCCTGGAATCAAAGGGGGGAGCTTCTCAGGGCTTCAGATGCTCCTTGGTAGAAAGGTTTTACCACCAAATTTGAGCAGCAGCAGAGAATCAGGGTGTGACTGTCTCTGCTTTGACACAAGCACAGCTTCCCTCTGACGCTCCCTCTCTCCTCACCAACAGCACTGCTGTGCAGCTGTTTGTTCCCAAATATTCACACTCCTAGGAGACCTGCACGTGCAGTACCCTTTTCCCTGTCATTTTTTTTTTTTACACCTGCCTCATGAAATAATTAAATGGACTTGCTGCAGCTTCTCCCCCAGCTGCACGTGGTTATCTCGCATCCCAAAAGCACCAGCTGTGCTTAATGTGCTTTGACAGGGGCATCGGGGATGAAAGTGGGTCAGTCCAGTGCTGACACCCCTGGAGCTCCTGCACTTTAAAGCACTTGTGCCTTGAGCTCTTACAGACTTAAAGAGACTTCAAATTGCAGGTTTGGCAAGGAGCCCACCCATGAAGCGTCTTCCTCTTCCAGGAGGTTTGGGATGCTTGGGGATGGAGGAAGGGCAGATTTGAACTCGGCAGGGTGTGTCAGTGGGATGCAGCTGGCTCAGGAGAGCCATGTCTGGGCATTGCCCTCCTTTGGTGTAGCATTAAAGTGTCCTGTGTGTTAAAATCCTTCTCCACAGAGCTGCACAGAACTGAAGCTGCTCCCAGAACAGTGCAGTGCTCTCGGACTGACCCCTTCACAGCCTCACCAATGTCCTAATGCCACAAATTTGAGGCCCCAGGCTTCAGAGTCCATTCCAAATCTGAAGTAACAGGGTTAAACGTGCAGGCTGTTCACAGCCAGAGCCCTGTGTGTCCTCACTACAGAATCCATCCAAAAAGAAGAACAAAGCACCTGGAGTGGGACCTTTGTGAGTTCTCCTCCCTCTCTGAGGAAAGGGTTTCTGACCTCACCCTTCTCTGTGCAGTGTCAGCTAAACCAAACACAGGAGACCATCAACCTTGAGGAAGAGGGGCCAGGAGCACCCAAAGGGCCAAGAGGAAGCAGCACCTTACCATGTGGTAGTTGATCATCTCCTGCAGGCTGTCTCCGAATTTGTCGAGGCACTCCTGCAAAAAAAAAAAAAAAAAGGTGAAGAGAACTGGCAGTGAAAAGAAACAGCTGCTCTTCACTCCCAGGGGTTCAGGGGCTGAGAGGGGACTCTCATGAAGCCTCTGAAGAGCCACTCTGAGTTTGGCAAGGAGGCATTTCCCGATGCTGGAGCCATAGGCTGCCTGTCCTTTCCAGTTTAGTGCTGGAATCACCGTGTCGCTTGCTGGGCTGGTTCCCCACGTTCCCTACACCACTGATGCTTACTGACCTAGATTCCAACAACCTTGCCAGCACTGTGCTTCTTGAGAGCCCAGATCTGCCTGCAAACAACGAATCTCACTCTGACCTTTCAGCTTTGCCTTATCAGACAGCCCCTACATCCCTCCAGAAACAAAAACCATCATCCTGACCGGCTGCTTAAACACGGACGTGGGATCCACTCACAGCAGCAGGAAGCTGGACACTGCCCAGCCCTCCCTGTGCCCCATGCTCCCTCCCAGGGGTGGGATGCTCCCTCCCAGGGGTGGGATGCTCCCTCCCAGGGGGGATGACTTACCGAAATCATCTCATCCTTCTTGCACTGCTGCGACAAGTCCCGGACGCCGCTGACAAAGTGCTTGTTGGTGGTGATGTAGGCTTTGCCTGCTTCAATCATCCCACTGCAGAGCTTCACCAGCTGCACAGGGACATGCCACCACGTGGAATTAATTACAGCCAGCTTGGGGTTTAGGATCAGCCCCACAAACCCAGGCCTTTGGGGCAGACGCCCTGCACTGACAACCCCTCACTGCACGTGGCTCAAACAGGGGTGCAAAAAATCCCCCCTCCTGCTGTCCACACCTCACTTATCACTTAAGGACAGCAGTTCCAGGCTCTCCCCTAAGGACATGAGTCAGGACAGCCCATTTTTTTTTTTTCCAGTGGGTTTCTCCTGCTCATTCTACCCTGAGGCATCAGGAATGCACCGAAAGGAACCTGATCCCACGGGCTGGTGCCCTGGGAGGGATTACAGGATACAACTCTGGACCACCTGTGACTTGGCACAGGCTTTCTGATGGAAAGAGCCTTGTTACAGTGATGTTACCAGCGAAGTTACCTGAAACCTGCAGCAGAACAGGGTGTCTTCCCACTTTGGAACTTGCTGCAGCACAGGGACACGTCTCCAGACAGCCTTTCTTAACTTTAGATAGTTTAACAGCTGCAGGGAACATTCCCAGACTTCCCAAGCCACAGCAAAGTGCCTCGGCACGCCTGGAACTGGCTCTAAAGCCCAGAGCTTTAGTTTAGGCAGAATTCCTGGCCATTAGCCTATCTCCTTTCAGCCACAGCTCCTCCTAAGAGGCTATGTTAAACAACTTAAGATAAACCCATAAACCAAAGGCCCAAGAGATTTGCAGCATTAAGGGCTGGGCCACTGAGCAAAAACCTTGACATCTTCTTTGTTTGCTTGTTTTTTGCTTGTTTTACCTCATCACCCTTCTGGGCTTCTAAACTAAGTGAAAATAAAGAGCAACACTTGGAAAGCAAGTTTTCCAGCAGCTTTTTAGGGATAATAATTCTACTAAATGAAAAAAAATTGGCTTTAGGAATCTTTGCCTGTCAACCAGCCTCAGGTACAGGCTGGGAACGAGGAGCTCTCAAGCCTGGTTTGATGCCAAAGCCCCGTGTGCTGTTCTGGGGCTTGGTGCTTGTTCTGTTTCTGCAGCCCCAGGGCTCTGGGGTCTGTTCTAGATGTAGGATTGCAGAATTGGCTCTGCAGCTGAGTAGATACACAGCTGAGTTTATCGACGTGTAGACACAGATGCAGCCACACGCGGTACGTCCGTGCACACATCACACGTGCAGCCCTCCCTCTCACACCCTCCCCTGCCCCTGCAGCTTGGCTGTGAGCAGATTTGCACACCCCATCCAAACCCAGAGGAGAAAAGCAAACAGATGCAGTTCCTGTCCCAGCTGGAGGCCAGACGAGCACCAGGGGTTGGTTTGGAGAGATCCCGGGGAAGGGAAATCCAGCCCCTTGTGCAACGTGGCGGTTTGCAGAGGAACCTCTGAGCAAACAGCCCTGGCCAGGGCTGTGGCACCAGGGGCTGAGGGCCAGGCAGCACAACCCCAGCCCCAAGGGGAGCAGTGGACGTGGAGCACGGGGTAAAATTAAGGGTGTCTCTGAAACAGCCATGGAGCCCCAATCTGTAGGTGAATCATTTACACTGCCCTTCCCCTCCCTTTAAACAGGTGCTAAAGACTAATCATCATTTCTAAACTAAGTGCTCAGGGGCACAGCAAAAGGCAGAGGAACAGCCAGGCTTTGGCAGTTTGCTGCTCTGTGAGAAATAACCCTGCCAGCTGTTTGGGTACCACTGACCAACATCCCACCCCGGGGAGGAGCTGGGCCATGCAAGGCTGATGTGTTGGGAAAGGGGGTGATTGAATCTGGCCCAAAGTTACCCTCAGAGAATCTGGCTTGAAGTTCCGTGGCTCTGGAGATGCAAACTCCATCCTCCCCTGCCCTGGACCCAGGCCTGATAAACCCACTGCTGACAGCGACTGAACTCCTGCACTTCCACCCTTAACCCTCCTCCCTCCAGGACTGTTCCTGGCACACCAACTCATCTACCTGGCAGCAGCAGTGCCAGAACCAGAGCAGTTTTCACCCCATGCTCTGCCTTTAGGGCCTCAGCTTGGAGGGGAACAGGTAACCCAAACCCCTGTGCAGCCCTCCCCACTCAGCTCCTGCACACAACCAGTTCAAGCAGCCTGATTAGTAAATAGGTTTTGTAGGACACAGCTTTGCCTAGGGCTTGTGGCTTCAACACAGCCCATTTCTGCATCAGACACAGGAGTTTTATCCCTTGCTAGCTCTGGGGAGGGGGGGGAAATCTCACAGATAAAAAGCAAGCAGCTCTTCTGGCTCATCTTTGCCGTTTCTCTCTGTTCTCCTTCAGAAACAACTCGGCTGATGTCTCTGGCATCGGGTGGAGTGGGGGTGGAAAAGCCACCTTCCACCACAAACTAAGACCCAGACTACCAGCTGGATATAAAGAATCCCCAGCAGCAATGCAGAATGGCCAAACTGGTCCCCGAGAGGGGATTTCCAGGGTCAGATTCCAGCTGCAGTCTGAAGGTGGCCCTTGGTTACCTGCAAGGTCTCCTCACCCCCCTGAGCTGGCACAGGGCTCTGAGGGCACTGAACACCTCCTACCCCACTGATATCACAGGCAAGAGGGAGACCTGGCCCTGGTGACAAGCCCAGTGGGTTAAACATGAGTTCCCTGGCAGCTGGAGATGGGCTCAGGTTTTAGAGGAGGCTGGAGGGGCCGTATTCCTGCTCAGGGATTCCTCAGCCCCTCTTCCGACCCTGCTCTGAGCTGCCCCACCTCACCTTGTCAAGCTTGGCCTCGATCTCCACCACATCTGTCTCCACTTCATCGATGGTTGCCCTGCAATCAAACAGCAAAAAAGGGCTAATTAATTATTTGATGGCTCGTGATGATTGGGAAAGCACCAGGAAGTTGTAGTTGAGTGAGGATCAGAGGGACTGGGGTGGGAGTGCTGCAGGGGACAGGAGGAGGGATCACCATCCCCACTCTGGAGTTTCCTGCTGCTGCATAAACTCGGGACTGAATCACTCAGGACAAGAAGGATCACACCCCCTCAGGAATGAATTCCACAGGGCTGGGGAAAGGGATGGGGATTATTGCATCTCCTGCCAGCGCTATGGAGAAATTCAGGTGGGCTGTGGCAACCACCCCCTGCAAACTCACTGAGTGTTCTGACTCTGCAGGCAGTGCTGCTAATTGGCAGCAGTGCTAATTAACACTGTTCCGCCTCACCATCCATCCCCATCAGGCACAAATTCCTTGTTCCAGCACCACCAACCCCCATTTCCAGGCTGTAACTGTGCCTGGAAGTGCAGCCACGTGGCAAACCATGCCCTTTGAACCCCGGGAACTCGAGCAGAAAACACATCTCAGCCTTTCAGCCACCGAACACCACAAGAAAGAGTCCCTCACACACGTGGGGCTTTCCTTGGGCAGGGAGAAATCTGCTCCAGCATTGCTGGGACTGTTCTCTCTCCACGTCACCGGGCAGATGTGACAGCAAGGGGCCATCAGAATCCAGCTGCAGAGGTCACCAGGCCTCCCTCACATTAACATGACATCAGGCATTTGCAAGAGGCATTCCCAGACTGAGGCACGTGCTGTGGGAATGACTTTTTGGAGGCCAGAATCCCACAGACCTGGGAAGTGAGTGTCCCCTGGCAGAGCTGCCCTGCTGGGACAGTTTGTTTGTGCCACCACACACCTGCAAGCGTGGTCAAACCTCCTGAAGTTCCTCCTGAAGTTTGCGGGCTTGTAATTTAAAAAATGAAATGTTACACTCAGGCTTTACCAAAAAAAAAATAAAAAAATCCAGCCCTGAACATGTGCCAGCTGCAAGAGCCACATGAACCCATCCTGCTCCCAGCAGAAGGACAGGACACCCCCAAACCAAAGGGAACAACGAGGGGATGCCCCATCTGTGCCCCTGGAGCTCCTGGTGTCTCCAGTGACAGCCCAGGAATATTCTCCAGCAGCCTGAAAAAGCACTCCCAACACTCATCCCACCCTCTGGGAGCAGAATCCAAGCAGAAACCCAAACCCAGCCGCCCTCCCCCTGCCGTCATCCAGACTGGAAATGAAATGCCGGTGCCTCCCAGTGGGAGCACAGCCTGCCTCGTGCCCGGGGCTCTGGCCACGATCGATCAGCTACCACCAGCTCTTTGAAAACCCGGCCAGAAAAACAAAACAAAAAAAGAAGCCTCTCTCTCTCTCTCTCTCTCTCTCTCTCTCTCTCTCCCCCAGATAACGCTGGCTGTGCTGGGGGGCAAAGCTTTGGAGAGGAAAGGAATAAATAAAGAGCTTCTTTCAGGCAATTTTTTATTTTTTTTTTCTCCTCTCTCTCTCTCTCTCTCTCTTTTGCAGCTATTTTTGTTCTCTGGGTTTGGGAGTCGTGTGCCTTCATGCATCGCACTCTTAACTGCCAGATTCAATTTTTCCACTCGGTTTCTTCGTGCTTCTGATAGCTGGACATGAAAAAAAAAAAAAAAACCAGCTAAAAAAAATATATATATTAAAAAAAAAGAGAGAGAGCTAGGATTTCTGGGGATGCTTTTCTTTTCAGGAAAGCAGGAGCAGCCATTGTTTAATCTGCAGAGGCGAGTCTGGCAGCATATTTCCTGCCAGAAGGTGGAGAGAGTATAATTTACTCCCCATTTTTATCATAACACATGAAAAGGAGTTGATATATTTGGACTCTGTGGAGGAGGAAGGCATTTTGGGTCTGGTATCTGCCTGTGGCTGGGAGAGCATGAAATTTGAACTTTCTATTCGGTGTGTGGACTCGACGTGAGAGGTTCCAAGTGTTTGATTTCAAGGACGGTGATCTCAGGGACTGACTGGGCTCCAGGACTCTGATGGAGCTCCAGCTTCTTCCCCACAGGAAGCAAAATTGAACATTTATCCAGCCTTTCCAGATCCCTGGTGCTTTTCTATCCCAGTGAAGTCCTTGGGGAGATGAACTACGAGGCTGAGATGTTGCTGGGGGTAGTGCAGCCATCCACTCATTTTGGGTAAGCTGGAAGTGGAAGACAAAAGGACCCCAGTCCTCAATCCTAACTTCTCCCATGTGTCTTTTCCCACACTCCTGGTCTTGTTGGCCGGAGATTTTTCTTCCTGCAGCCTGGCCCTTTGCATCCCAGGGCCTGATTAACACCTGATTTCCCCTCCTTCAAGGGCACAAACATGCCTAAGTCCCATGGAGTCCAAAATGTCGTTATCCTGCTCCCTGATGCATCTCCAGAGCCCCCTGATCCTGCTTCCCTAGAAAAACAACAGCTTTCCCTGCAACTCGCTGCAGAACACAAGCACTGGGCTAAAACCTCCGCCAACCCCGTTCCCAAATTTAAATCCTCCCACTATTCCACCACAGATAAAAGGCAAAGCCCTCTCAGTTACACAACTGAGCTGGGAACCTGGAATGACTCCCTGGGGATGAGCAGAGCCACACTCAGCAGCGCCGAGCTCCGCCACTCCATCCCGAAGGGAATCCAGCAGGGAGACAGAGAGGGAGAGGGAAGGGGCACAAAATGATCCCCAGCCACGGGACACGCCGTGTCCACGGGGTTTGTGCCTCCTGGCACAGGCAGGGGAGAGCCCAGGCACAGGAGGAAGCTGCACTGTGCTCGTGGGGATGCTCAGCACACGCTCCCCCAGCTGCAGGAATCCGCCTGGGAAAGCGAGGGATTCTCACAGGAGGGAATGGAATCCCTTCAGCAGAAAATAAATAAATAAATAAATAAATAAATAAATAATTAAATAAATAAGCAAGCCCAGTGGCTGGGCAGCTCAGAGCAGTTGGAGTCACGTCCTGGCTGGGTGCCCTCCGTGTTTCCTGGTGCTCTTCCTGCTCATGCTCTGCCAGCCCTTGGGCCGTTTCCGTCAGGAGGGGGGGAGAGAAAACAATCCCCGGCCTCATCTGCTCAAGTGGAGCCCTTCCAGCTAAAGAGAGGAGGCTCGAGTTTCCCTGCCCAGAGAAAGCAGCAGTTGCCCACAGTCCAGAGGGCTCTGCATTGTGCCTTTTGCTTTTGTCCTTCAAAGAAGCCTCTCGGAAGCGGGATTTTTACGTGGCCAAAATCTCACCGGGAGCATTTTTACATCCCGTGGCGGGCAGGAATAATGAGCTGTGCTGCTGTCAGGGACACACATCTGCCCTGCACCTCCTCTGACTTGCTCGACTCCCAGTGCCAGCCAAGCACCAGCCAAAGGATCACCTGCATCCCAAAAGTGCCCGATGCAAAGTCCGCTGGAAAACTGAGGCAGAAATCAAGCTGGGGCTGAGTGGGATAAGGTGGGAGCCTAAAACTGGATTTAAATAAGCTGTGCTTGGAGTGCAGCTGGGAGGACAGGGCTGGCAGAGGAGGATGGACAAAGCCAGAGGGAAATGCCAGCCTGACTAAGGGCACTGGCTGGGATGGGTCTCTCTTCAGCTGGATTATCATTAATCACCATTTGCTCCCGGAATAGAAGAGGTGGATGATGACTGGAGCAATGAGCAGCCCAACACGGAAATCACCTCTGAGCCTCGACTTTCCCCATTGCTGAACTGCTAAACAGTGGCTTCCCAGTGACACTGTGAGTATTCAGGGATGAATCCACGCCTGGCAAGTGCTGGGGATCCTCAGGTGACGAGCTGACTACAGCGAGGCACAGTCATGTACTCAATTCACGAACCTCAGCATTAAATAATCTCATGTTACCACAGCTGAGGCATGGAGTGATCCACAGACACTGCTCAGAGAGGCCTGGCTGCATTTTTCCCATTGCTTTTCCTCCCTGCTGGAACAGTGGCCGTGGGGTTTTTTGGCATTTCTTTGTGAGCTGAGGGGCTTTGACACCAACACACACGTGTGCTACATGAAGGCAGAAATCCAACACCGAGCTGGGTATTAAAAAGTAATAAAATGATCTAAAAATTGCTTGGTTACCTCTGGCAACCATATGAAGAAGAGAAGCAAAGGCACACAAAGTGTAATTCTGAACTATTGGCTGCTATAATAGTGACTACTTATCCCTGCAGCTGTCAAAGCAGCTCACAAAGCTGCCTTAATTAACCATGCCCTTCTTTTTCCTTGGGAGGTGCATTTGGCTTTCCTCCCCTTTTCTGGCAGGGAAACTGAGGCACGATAATACAAAGACTAAGTTGTTTTTTTTTTGCTCAGTGTTGATGTTCAGCAAAACACAGAGGTGTTTTCTGTACTCAGTCCCCAGGTTGTTAAACTGGTCCAGTAAGGGCTCCTTTGTCTCTAAGGCACATTTACACACATTTACACACTCTCTCTCCACCACACACAAAAAAAGCTGCAACTTCCCAGTCCAGCACCTAAAAAGCACCTTGGCTTTCCCCAGTGCCCCCCAGGGCAGGCTCACCTTGGGGGCCACCCAGCTCTGCCCTGCAGGAGCTGATCCCGCTGGGAGCCACGTCAGCGGGACGTGTGGGATCCAGGCCAGCTCCCATCACAGTCAGTGGGAAGATATCCCTGCAGCAGGAGCTTCTGGAGAGCCTGCTTCCCTCCCTCCCCCTCCACTGGTGCCAAACTCCAGCCCAGGCTGATTTGTGACCCTCACATCTGTGATGCAGCTACTACATCGTGTTACCCCTCCCTTACAAGCGCCCGTGTCTTCTGGCCATAAAAAAATTCCCAGGGGAGGGAATTTGGAGAGCTTGAGCTGCCAGCAGAGCCCCCACCTGTGAGCCAGCTGTTCCCAGCTGCTGCTCTGGGCACTCACAGGCTCCCCCAGATCCCACATCCCCCTTGCCTTGGCTGAATCCCACACAAACCACGCTCAGAGCGGTGCTCTGAGCTCACCCCTCGTACCTGGTGGGTGTGTTGAGAGGGCTG